TGAAGGGAGAAATTTTAGATCAGGCTAAAGGAACAAAAGCTGTCCACATCCTCAGCTGTGCAGAGAACTGGGTCAGGATAAAAGCTCCAACTACAGCATGAGGGATTTGGATAGACTTGAGGAAGAAATTTTCTGAGTGAAAGATATCAAATGTTAATAGACAAACAGTCTTTCTCTTCTGGGATTGTTTAGTCAACTTCCCCAGAGCCAGAGAGGTGGATGGGATGTCACGGGTCCAGCCTCATGAATCTCTGGTTCTCAGTTCTGAGAATCAGAGCAGCAAAGGTGGTCTGGATCCAGGACCCAGCTGCCCCTAATGGCTGTCTTTGGTGGTGGTTCTTGGATCCATCTCATTCATTGAACCCTGTTTTCCTGTTAGCACTTGATAGAGGGGAGCAGCTAAGGTGTTGAGCAAGCGTGACCTTTCCCCTGTTGCAGGAGACAATTGAGAGGCATTATTCATTGGCCGTTCAAAGCCAGCATGGTTGAGGTGGTGTCATCTCCTGGTGCCCCCTGCAGATCAGATTCCCCTGGAAGCCCATAAGCCCACCCATGAGCCACAGCTTGTGAGAACAGGAGAAGACTATTTTGGGTCTGGAGGTCAGATGGACCTATGTGGGAAGCTCCTGCATCCACACAGGCATGAGCTTTAGCATCTGGATTCTGAGTTTGATTAGGTGTTAGGTTAGATCCCAGCCCTGAGGAACAGGAAGAGTAACAGAAATATCGTCAGGTTGCATGGGCTCTTCAGGGGTCCTATGACATCCAGGGAGACTGTTGTCTTCCACCATTTATAGAGTTTGATGTCGTCCTCCATCACCTTTGTCTCGAAGCCTGTTTCTGAGTCTACTCCTCCCAGGAAAGAAATTGTGCAGCCTCCCTTAGTGAGTGGCTCCCTAAACCACCATCAGGATTCCCAGTCATACATTTTCATGTGAATCCTGCTGCAGCCAATCATACTTCTTCATAATCTCCTCTTTGGGCCCAGCCTTCTCAACCTTAATGATATCATGTGTCACCCTGATTCCTCCTCTTCAAGCTCTCTGTGCCCTAAGAATCCAGTCGAGATGCCTCTGGAACCTCTTAATTCCCTCCTCTGCTTCTTGTTTTCCTAGCTTGGGCCTCAGTTCACCTAAGAGCCACTGAGAGGAGATTGAATCTTAGCTCAGACAGTGAGAAGAGAAAAACACAGTGGAAGAGTTTCACCAGTGCAGCCACAAAGACAAAAATATCCTTCTCCTTCACCTCTTTTGCCCTTGTGCTTTGGTTTTCTTTAGTATGAACGAAAAAGATATTGCCAAAGCTGACTGTCAGAAGGAGGGGCAAGTGAGGTGTCTATCGTTTAACCTCAGTGACCCACTCAGCCCCACATAACTCCAAAGCTTGCACCTTGAATGATATAAAATAAAGAAGCCATTTACCACCTACGGGGCCGGCTGTTCCTCTAGTGCACTGGCATGTTGCCCAACAGTCATGCCAACGTGCCTCGTTAGTGTTTTTAAGTGCCATGAAGGGAGAGGGAGGCCTCGTGACAATGGTTGAGGGCCAGTGGCAGTCCTCATGCCTGTTTTCAAAGCTCTTAACAGCAGGCTAAGACAGAACCTTCCTCTGATCAGGACCACAATAGACGGACCCTGATAGAATGGGAGAAAAATGTGAAACAGAACCTCATATTCCTAAAAAATATATATATAACTTACTAGACTGGTTGAGACTAGACTGCCCAAGACTATTGCCCTGAGATACTCTTTAAACTTTGAACCAAAACTAGCCTTGAGGTCACCTTTTAGCAAAATACCAGACTGGCACACAAAATAAAGAATATTACCTGTGAGTACTGTGCTCCTTTTGCAAATCACCTATGTAAGACTGAATGGTCAGCAATTACTTTAAAACAAAGATGAGAATGTAAGGGGACAGGGAAGCTAGATTAATGGAAACGAAACAACCAGAATGGAAATATTGAGAATGTTCATGCATTGTAAAGAATGTTACCAATGTCACTGAACAATTTGTGTAGAAATCATTTGAATGGGAACCTAAACTACTGTGTAAACCTTCACTGAAAATACAATAAAATATAATTTTTTTAAAAAAAGACATAACTTCCTCTGTTGCCAGCGTCCTGCATGGCACCTACTTTAGCACCTCAGGGTAAGAAGGGCCCATAGGATCAGCTCATCCAACTGGCCACCAGGGCCTGGCTATCTCCAAGGCATCACCATCAAGTGAGCATCCAGCCTCAGGTTGAAAACCTCGTTATCAGGAATTCGCTGCCCCCAAGGCAGCTGACTCCATCTTCAGATAGAAGAGGCAATCTAGAGTAGGTGTAAGAGCACCTACTTTGCAGCTAAATGGTATAGGATCCAAAACATAGCTAGCTTGTGACCTTTGGCGAGTCTGTTGACTTTGCTGAGCCTAGGTTTCCTCTGCTGAAAATGGAGGTAAGAATATCCCAGGTTTGTGGTGAGGATTGAACGTGATGTAGGTAGAGCTGTCAGCACAGCGTGGGGCCCATAGTGAACGCTCAATAAACAGTGGTCATTATTATTACCTCTGGCTTTTAGGATGTCCCTCCTTTTTTTTTTTTTTTAAGGAGCCCTGGTGGCACAGTGGTTAAGTGCTCGGCTGCTAACTGAAAGGTCAGCGATTTGAACCCACCAGCCGCTCTGTGGGACAAAGATGTGGCAGTCTGCTCCCGCAAAGATACAGCCTTGGAAACCCTATGGGGCAGTTCTACTATGTCCTATAGGGTCGCTACGAGTCGGAATCGACTCGTCAGCAGTGAGTTTGGTTTTTGGGGGGTTGGTCCCTTTTTTTGAGCTTTACCTTGTTTCCCAGTAGCTTCTCCTCCGGTGGGATAATTCTGTGGTTGCTAGCCCACCTCCTACAAATGAAGTATTGCTCTGACCTTTTTATAGCATGTCAAGGCACCCACAGCAGGACTTTGTGCTAATTTTTCCTCCTTTCCATCCTTAACGCTTTGCTGGTCGTGTGTGCTTGCGGTGCTGCGTGCTATGGTGTGAATTAAACGTCCACAGGGTTACATCGGTTTCTGCAGCTTTTGTCCCTGCATGGAAGGAGTATGCTGACTGCACTGGGACCTCTTCCATGTGATGCCGGGGTTCCCAGCTCTGGACAGACTCAGCAGCCTGACACAGGGGCCTCCTGCCCTGAGACCTCCTTCTCATGTGGCCCTTGACCTGTGCTGTCCTGACTGTTTTGGGGATTTGGTGGCAATGGGTGGGAGGACGCTGCTTTTTTGGTGTCAGGCTTCCTTGGTACTGAGAGCTGGATGCCACACAAGCTATAGGTATATGTAACCAATTAACCACGTAATGGATTAACGCCCCCCCTTCCCCCCCCCGCCGGTAGCCCCTGTTGTATATGTGGGTGCTGGCGGGACAGATGAGGACAACTGCAGAAAGAGGAATAAGGCGTGGGGTAAACTGGTGCTTGTTTTGTGTCCTCTCTCCTCCTTTAATCCATTCACCCCACAAACATTCGCCCAGCACCTGCCACGTGTCATGTATTGGGCCAGCAGCCTCTTGACCTCTGAGGTGGAAAAATGCATATGGCTCATCATTTCTTCTCCTGACAAAAGGATAGCATAGAAGCAAACTCTATGAAATACACTCCCCCAATAGCTAATGGGGGGAAGTTGGCGCCCCTAGAACAGGAGCCCCACTGGTCCAGCCAGGTACCAGCTAGCCCAACAAGCACCTTCAGTTTTCAGACTGGCAATACCCATGACACAGGCCCAGAGTTCCCACCAGCACCTGCCAGCATGAGTTCAGTCCCCAGAGAAATGCCTTGGTTCTCACTCCAGGCATCTCCGAGGATTCCCAGCTCCTAGTAGCTCCGCCTCCCTTCCATCTCTCACTTCTCCAGCTGAGTCTAAGCCCCATTAAACCTGTGGGCAGGCTCAGCTTATTTTTTTTATTTTTTATTTTTAACTCTTCTTGTTCATACCCACACACCTTTGGGCTGTAAGGTGCCTCTGCCGGTTTCCCCGTTTCCCGGGGGTTCCTGGTTGGAAACTCCTTGCTCTTCTCCCTTCCTGCCACTTTACCTTTTCCATAGAACTTTGCAGAGAGCTCTGGGAGACAGCTGAGGCTTAGGGGCGGTGGGGTGCACTTGCATGACCCCTTCCCCAGGGAGGCAATCAGCTGTCCTGAGCATGCCGGTCTCAGGGCGCCTTCTGGCCTTTTATAACTGCATTCATCTCGTTGATTCCAGGCAGGGGCTTCCTAGAGCCTAGCTGAATTGTAAATCACCTCTTCCATCTTGGCTGCCACTCTCCTCTCACTTCCCCCTTTCAGAATCTCACATCCAATTAACACCCTCCCCACCCCCCAGCCCCCTTCCAGAGTCATTAGTGAGGAAGCAGAATGGTTTTAGCCCAGAGTGATTTCCTGTCATCTCTGCTCATTAATTCTCTCCACGTCTTTGCTAAACCATTAATAACTCTCCCCATGTATCTGACTGTTCATGCGTCTTTGTGGCTTCATCCCAACTCCCTGTCTCCAGGGTCCCAAAGAGCAGGTCGTCTGTCCTGTGTCCCCATGCCTTCTCTTTCTTCCACATCCCTGACTGGGGGGCAGAGGGAGGACTGCCACTGACATGGTCTGTCCTGGGGCCCCCACACTGGCCTCCCAGATGCTCAGAGAGTGGACCCCCACTGCTTAGACACCCACCTGCCCTGCTACAGGGAAGACAATGTTGGCTGCACTCGGAGGGAAGCTGGGCTCCTCTTGGCAGGTCCTTTGGGAACATAGAGCTGCTCACACACGTGCTGGTGGGGTCCAGGAGCCCCGTGCTTCCTAACACACCCTCTTACTGATGCGCAGGCCCTGGGGGTGGTTTCAGCGGGGCACCTCCGAGGGTAAGGGGCTAGGCAAGGGGCGTGATGACATTTCTCTCCAGCCTGACAGCTTTGGCCTAGCTGGGTCGGCCCTCTGGAGAGGAGGCTCACAGGAGCTTGTTCTGTCCTCTTTCAGCCCGAGGAGTTGCAGAGAGAACACCCAGCTTCATGTATCCCCAGGGCACTGCGAGCAGTCAGATGGTGCTTCGTGGCATGGACCTCCTACTGGAGTGCATCGCCTCGGGGGTGTACGTACGGTCTGCACCCTCCCTTTGGGCCACTCTCCAGGAGACTGGGGCGGGGGCTTGTCCATGCTTTGCTCTTTTGAGGGGCATACCAGTAGTGCAGATTCCCTGAGTGACGCAACGGTTAAGCGCTTGACTACTAGCTGAAGGTTGGTGGTTCAAACCCACCCAAAGGCGCCTCAGAAGACAGGCCTGGCTGTATGCTTCCGAAAAGTCACAGGCTTAAAAACTCTATGGAGCAGTTCCACTCTGCCCACATGGGGTCACCATAAGTCTGAATCGACTGGACAGCAACTGACAGCCACCAGTAGTGCCGCAAAAAGCAGGTAACAGTCCTGGTGGAACAGGGCAGCTCCCTCACATCCTGGCGATCTCTTTTTTCTTTGCATAATGAGGAGAGGAGACGGTTAGAAATCCCATGTGTGTGAGAATGCTGAGTGACCTCAGATAAGTCCCTCAGGCTCTCTGTGGCCCAGCATGCCCCTCTGTGTAGGGAAGATCAGCTCTGGGAGAACCTGAATTCTCCTGGGCCCAAGTACACTTTTAGAGACCTGGGCATCTCCTGGGCCCAAGTACACTCTTAGAGACCTGGGCATCTCCTGGGCCCAAGTACACTCTTCGAGACCGGGGCATGCCAGACTCTGAAGAAGAGTAACAGGGCCACGTTTAGTGATGGATCTTTTGTTTCCTGCTTTGTCTCTCTCCTAGCCCAACACCAGACATCGCATGGTACAAGAAAGGTGGGGACCTCCCGTCTCACAAGGCCAAGTTTGAGAACTTTAACAAGGCTCTGCGCATCACCAACGTCTCCGAGGAGGACTCTGGGGAGTATTTCTGCCTGGCCTCCAACAAGATGGGCAGCATCCGGCACACGATCTCGGTGAGAGTAAAGGGTACGTTGTGTGTATTTCTCATTATGATTACTTTGCCAGCCCCAAACACCGTGACCGCCCCCTCCCTCTGAGAGTGGCTGGGGGGTGGAGTGAGTGGAGAACCTTCCAACACACTGGTTAGTGGTAACTGTGACCTTCCTTGGATGGTGTCACCCCTGGGTGTGTGTGTGAGAGAGATTGGAGGAGGATGGGGAAGGGAGGGCTGAGGGAAGGGAAGGAGACCCACCCCAACCATCGCTCAATTCTCCTTTGTGCCCGGGAACCCTCAGCAGGTGAATTTCCTCCCGTGGCCATTTGGGCCACGGTCTCAGTCTGTTCTTTCCTTCATTTTGCATTTCCGTTTGTGGGGTGTCGTCTTAGCCCTGTGTTGTCTGTGTGCTTGTGCATGGTGCTCTGCTTCTTTTTAAAAATGGGAAATCATAATGGCCCACATTATTTCTTTTTTAAAAAATCACTTCCCTTCTCCAAATGCAGAGATGGCCCAGCTAGGTGTCACAGGCAATAGAGGTCTCGCCTTTAGGGGGTGAACGAGTCACTTCTCAGCCTGGGGCAGGACGGATCATTGAGACGATGAGGTCTGAGACCACAGAACAAGAACTTCCTTAGCATCCAAGCAGCTGGTCCCATGACCTTGGTTTTAGCACCACACTCAAGCTAGGTGGTCCTCAACCTTTTTTGGAGTATGGAGGTCTTTGAGAATCTGATCCAAAGGACAAGATTCTCAGAAAAATACACATACCTACATTGTCACTGAATTTTCCAAACAATTGAAGAGGGTGGCCAGCTAAGAAGCTCTGCTCTAGCCAAAGTTCGGTGTCTAAAAGAAGGTCTGAGCTCACAGCAGCAACAGAATCTGGGGGGTTCCTGCGAAATCCATGGGGACCAACCCAGTGCCCACTTTACCACCTGCCGTGGGATGGTTCGAAACCTCGGTACACACCAACACTTACGCACCTTTGAAGCCTCCACCGCCCAGGCCTCCTGAGGGTTCAGATTTAGTAGGTCTCAGATGGGGCTCTAGCATCAGCATCTTTTAAAAGCTCCCAGGGGATTCTAATGAGCAGCCTGAGTTTAGAACTATTGTTCCGTGAACTCGAAATAGCCAAGTCAGTATCTGTGCTGTCAAACTGACCCAGCAGAGGCTGGACCAAGGCCTTCCTCTGGGCCTCATTTAGGACAAGCCTGTGGGGCAGGTGGCAAGCGCCTGGTGCTGGGACTCAGGCTCTCCTGCCTTCCTAGTGAAACCCATGGGTTTCCTCCCTGCTCGTTGCCGGCTGACTCCCCTGCCTGTGCCTGTCCTTGTCTTCCAGCTGCTCCCTACTGGCTGGACGAACCCAAGAACCTCATCCTGGCTCCTGGTGAGGACGGGAGACTAGTGTGTCGAGCCAATGGGAATCCCAAACCCACCGTCGAGTGGATGGTGAATGGGGAGCCTCTGCAATGTAAGTAATAAGCTGTTGTCCCACCGACCTTCTCGCTAGTCAGAGGCACCAGACCGCACCACTGTGAGCCTGCCCGGGTTGTCCTAGAGGTGGAGGAAAAGAGTAGCCAAGGTTCTCGGAGCAGCCTGTCTCTTTGGACATCTGAAGAGACAGAGACCTGCCTCCCCCACGAGAGAACGCGTTTAGGGGCTTTCTGCTCCCTTAACGACTTCTGGAGCCGTGCAGGGGATGGGGACTGCAGATTCAGTTTGGGGCTCTGAGTGATGACTGGGGCTTAGAAGGTAGAGGAGAGCTCAGTATCCCATTGTCATTGGTTACCAAAGTCCCACTCTGCTGAGGGCAAAATAAGAGGCAGGGTTATGCAACAATATGAAAGATAATGGTTGGATATGAAGAAGAACTTCCTCGTGAGAGCAGAGATGCACTAGTGCAGTTACTGAGTACACACTGACTTTGGGAAGATTTAGTCCTCCCTGGATGGATGGTATACGTGATCCCAAGGCCCCTTCCAGCCAGAGGTCTTGGTTAAGTTTTCACATCATATCCCTCCAGTTGTGTTTACTTTTTTAAATGTTTGGTCATTGTAAACAGTTATGTCAATCAAATGGGACAAAAAACAGATGAAGAGAACACAGAATCTAACTCAAGAACAGCAACCAACAGAAGCAGGTAGAAGCGACAGAGAGGCAGGGAAGAGGTAGAGAGGAGGGTGAGACTGCACAATTGAAGGCATTCATTGTGTGCCAGGCACCGTACGAGTTGCTGCATCATGCTATCGCTTCAATCTCAGATATTAACAATGAGGAAGCAAGGCTCTGATGGGGCAGTGAATTGCCCAAGAATACGTAGCTGGTAAGTGGTAAAGCTGTGGGTTGCTGTAGAATTGAACTCCCCTATAGTATCTAGTATTGAACATGCAGTTTCCTCAGGAAATATTATCCCCCTGGATACATGCAGAAGGAACCCTGATGGCGAAGTGGTTAAGGGCTCAACTGCTAACCAAGAGATCGGCTGTTCGAACCCACCAACTGCTCTGTGGGAGAAAGATGTGGCAGTCTGCTTCGGTAAAGATTACAGCCCTGGAAGCCCTATGGGGCAGTTCTACTCTGGCCTGTAGGATTGCTGTAAGTCAGAATCAACTTGACAGCAGTGGATTTGATTGGCTTTTTGGATATGTGCAGAGATATGGACACTTCTTGCCCTCTGTGGCGCTCCCATCCTAACAGCACTTTGGGGATATAAGGCAGGCAAAGGCTCCAAACGTTCCATCGCCATTAAACAAATCCAGAGCCTGGGACTTGCAGCTGAGCCTGGGCCCTGGAAAGGTCACCTGTCACCCTCCCCAGGGAAGCACTTAAGAGGAATGATTGGGAAGGAAGTTGGTTTCATGAAAATTGCAGGGCAAGGAGGCGTTGAAGTTGCTGGCATTGCCTTCCTCTGTGCTTTTTTGCTGAGTGGGGACTTGAGGAAGGATGATAAGGATGCAGACTTCATCTTCATTTGCCTTCTGCTGATGCCCCAGTTTTGGACTCAGAACTGCTATCTGTGGAGTGGCGCCCAGGAGGCCAGACTCTTTGGTCCTCCTTCGCCCAACTTCCCCTGTAGGTCTGAGTGATCCAGGATGAGTTCATGGGTTCTGTAAGCTGAGAATCCATTCCTAGCTCAGAAATCTTACAGAGGAAAGTCACCTTCTGGTGGTTAAAAATGATGCAAGTAGCAGTTCTTTACATTTCCAGAAAATTTTTGATAGCTCACTATCATTCTCTTATCGTAGCCTCCCTAAGAGTAGGGAAAGACAGGAGTGATTCGTCCCCATTTTACAGATGAAGGAAATGAGGTCCAGAGGGATTTGCCCCAGGCCCAGAATGACTGTGAACAGGACTAAGACCCTAGTCCTGTCCACTCCCCAGTCTCAGTTCTCTGCATCCTAAGCCAGCAGTAAGGATAAGCCAGGGGAGGAATATTCTCTCACTGTTTAGAATACATTTCTTGGGGATACCAGGGGAGCTTTGGCAAGTGTTAGATCTCTTTCCATTTTCAGCAGGTGTTGGCTTACGGGTTTAACTTTGGGATGGTTGGAGAGTGCTCAGAAAATGGAAAGGTAGCAGGCCTCCTCCATTTGTATATTGTTCTGTCCTTTTCAAAACACATTCAAGTATATGCACATTGGATTAAAATAACAATAACAGTAATTATCATTATTATGTTCTGGACCATTTGCTAATCACTTGATACATGCACAAAATCTCCTATCATCCTCATAAAATCTCCATGAGGTGCCATGTTATCCTTACTCTACAGACAAGGAAACTGAAGCTTAGAGGGATTAAATAGTGCTAGGAAGTGATATTGTTAAAATTCAAATTCCTTTCTGTTTCCAAAGCTTATGCTCTCAGCCCCCCTTCCCAGCTGTTATATGGGTCAAGCAGGCAGCCCTACTCCCACTGGAGAGAAGGAAAAATAGACTCCAAAAGGTTGGATGATAGGCCCAAAAGCACACAGCCGGGGCTGGGGGCGGGCTAGAAACCAGGTCTTCCTCCACGGCACCCTGGTCACACCAGGGAACCTGGCCAGAGCCCCTGGTGCTCTTCACCCTGCCTTCCCCCATTTCTCATGAGAAGCATCTCATTCTTATCTGTAGCGGCACCGCCCAACCCAAACCGTGAGGTGGCCGGGGACACCATCATCTTCCGCGACACGCAGATCAGCAGCAGGGCTGTGTACCAGTGCAACACCTCCAACGAGCATGGCTACCTGCTGGCCAACGCTTTCGTCAGTGTGCTGGGTGAGTGCACACCACGCAGCTCTCCGCCTCCGCTCACCTGCACTGAGTCTCCCTGGGATGCTATCTCATGGGGCCCACCTTGTTGCTGGGAGATTAGCCAGGCTGGGCAGGGACAAGGGGTGGTGGAATGGAGGTAGCGTGGAGACTGAAGATGAGATTTGTGGAAGGATGGAGGACTTAAAATCCAAAGAGCTGGATGTGTAGAAAGAGTTAATTCCGTCATAGAAGTCAATCTTTGTCCCCTTCCCACCCCCCGGAGAGAGAATGAGTGTGTCTCATCTCTTTGGTTGACTCGCCCTGGGTTTTCTGCTGGCTCTCAGGGTGGGAAATGATTCTGAATATATTTGCTGCACTCCCTCCATAGGGAGCGGATAATGGGAGTGGGTAGCTAGAAGATACCTTAGGGTTGTGGCGGGGCAGGTACAGAATCTGCTGGATAATTTGGGGAAACTCTGCAAAAGCTGGATTGGACGTAGGGTAGGTTGAAGGCAGATGGCTAAGCTTGCTCACCTAGTTCTGAGGGGCTTCTTAAAGGAGGGAAGTTGGTAGGGGAAGGTATCTCGGTGTTTGGAGAGCTGCTGTAGGGAGAAGGCATGTACAGATGAGACTGAGGGCAAGAAATGAGGGTTAGACTCCACACCCAAGAATTGCTTCTCTGGGAATTTCAGATGTGCCACCTCGGATGCTGTCGCCCCGGAACCAGCTCATCAGGGTGATCCTTTATAACCGGACTCGGCTGGACTGCCCGTTCTTTGGGTCCCCCATCCCCACACTCCGATGGTAAGTTCCAGGAGACCAGGCCCTCACTGGGGACATCTGTCTCACCCTTCTTATTCCTATACTGACTCATCACAGGTATTTGGCAAGACCTGGTGACTGGGTGGTGCAAATGGTTAAGCGTTTGACTACTAACTGAAAGGTTGGCAGTTCAAACCCACCCAGAGGTGCCTTGGAAGAAAGACCTGGTGATCTGCTTCCACAAGGTCACAGTCATGAAAACCTTATAGGGTGCAGTTCTACTCTGCAACGCATGGGGTCGCCATGAGTCCGAACTGACTCAACGGCAGCTGCTTTAGTTTTGGAGGGGAGACTTCCAAGGGTTTAAGCTGGAAGGAGCTTGGCAGATCATCTGGGTCAACCCCTCATTGTACAAGGAGGAAACTGAGGCTCAGAGAGGGACAGTACCTGCCAGGGTCACCCAGTGGTTGGAGGCAGCCCTGGCAGGAGAGCTCAGGGCTCCAGACTCCAAGCATGGGCTCTCTTGATTGCTTGCTGCCCCACTCCCCGGGCTGCTCCTTTCTCATTACGCGCTGTGTCCTGCTGCTCTGTTGTGAGGTTTAAGAATGGGCAGGGAAGCAACCTGGATGGTGGCAACTACCATGTCTATGAGAATGGCAGTCTGGAAATTAAGATGATCCGCAAAGAGGACCAAGGCATCTACACCTGTGTCGCCACCAACATCCTGGGCAAAGCTGAAAACCAAGTCCGCCTGGAGGTCAAAGGTAAGGGACCAGTCTCATAGGTAGGAGTGCGGCTGGGGCAAGGATGTGTCTCCTCGCAGTTATCCGTGTGTGATAGTCCCGAAAATGCACCACACCTGATGTTTAATCCCAGGTGGGGTTCTCCCTGTGCATCTGCATGCCTCCCCAAGGCTTCTAGCTGGCCCAGGGCTGGGAACGCCAAGCCATTTTATAATCAGCCTGGTCCAGATGGAATTAGAAGGGAAACTGGCTAACCATAGCAACTCCCCATTGCCACCTAAGAAATTGCAACCTGTATTCTGGACCCAGGGAGAAAGGGTTTTTGGATTATTTATACTTGGGATTATCCACCATTAGTACAACTGAATACAATTTCTGCCACCTTCCGTGATTGGCCCTAGGCCTCCAGGTATGCTTGTCACGCTGTGGGCCCACATGGGGGCGGTGGGCAGAGAATAAGTCAATGAAGGGTCCCTGGGTTTCCCCTCAGACCCCACCAGGATCTACCAGATGCCTGAGGACCAGGTGGCCAAGAAGGGCACCACAGTGCAGCTGCCATGTCGAGTGAAGCACGACCCCTCCCTGAAACTCACAGTCCACTGGCTGAAGGACGACGAGCCGCTCTATGTGGGAAACAGGTTTCCGTTCTTCCCTGCTCTCTCCCTGTGCTAGTTGGGTGATTTACTTTTCCCTCACTCTTGGTGACACACTGGAGAAGCCAGGGATAGGGAACCTGGGTCGCGCGTGTTCTGGGGAACAGCCGAGGAGACCGAGATGGGCTCCTTGACTCCTCCCCACGGCGGGGCAGATACCCTTCTTTCCCACCTCCCCCACATCCTCTCCCCCGTCAGCTTCCAGCCTCTCTCTCCTTCACCTCTTACCTCTCCCTCTTCTCTTTTTCGCACTCCTTTCTCTCTTTACTTCTTTTTTTCCTTTCCTTCTCTTTTGCTTCTTCCTTTCTTTTGATCCCCTCCCTTTCTGCACCACAGCCAGGACCTGGCTTTCCATCCTTGCAACCCTGCATGCAGTTCTCCTCGTCTCCAGTAGAGGGCAGGGAGAGCTGGCGTCATCTCTCCCTGCATCCTGGCTTCTCAAAAGTGGCGTAGGTAGTGGTGCTTCTCAACCCGTGTTGCACCCTGGAAGCTTGTAAATATACCCATGGCTACCCCATCCCCCTTCTCCTCACTGCGATTTAATTGGCGTGGGGGTAAAGCCCAGGCACCGATAGTGTTTAAAAGCGCCCCCAGGTGTTTCTAATGTGCGTCAGGGTTGAGAACTCTGGTCCGAGCCTCCTCCACAGGCTCTGTTCTCTGCTGCACCCTCTTCCTCCTCTGGGGCAGGTTGGGCAGGGGCACCAGCCGCTTGTAGCGATCATTCTGATTGTTTGCAGGGGATGTGCCCTGGGCTCAGGTGCAGGCACACTGGCCCTCGGTGGATGCTGACGGCTTTGTAGTTCCTTCTGGCCCTTTGGTGCCTTCTGCCCTCTGTGGGGACAGTTCAGAAGCAGCTGGGGCATGCCTGGCCTGGGCCTGGGTGCAGAGGATACCCAAGTCTGGGCTGAAGACAGAGCTAGAGATACGGGAAGAGAAGGATACCATTCCTCCTTTTGAGGGCGTGGGACGGTGGTGCCCTACTTTGGGAGGGTGCACGGCACAAGAAAGGCACAGAGACACAGCGTGTGGAGTTGGAGGACAGCGAACCCCGTTCTGGGCTGCTTTAGCTCCGCGCATTTTCTTCCTCCCTGCATTAAACACTGCAAGTGCTCCAGGTGACAGTGAAGACTTAGTGTTGACTGGAGTCCCATATTCCCTAGGAGGCTCTGGCTTCCCTCTTCTTCTGGCTGCCGATCCCCCTCCGGGGAGAAAGCAGCAGCAGTGCCCAGCGCGCCCCAGCCCCTCACTCTCTCCCCACCTGCCTCCTCCAAGCCCCGCCCCGGTGCCTTTGCAGGATGAAGAAAGAGGACGACTCCCTGACAATCTTTGGTGTAGCAGAGCGGGACCAGGGCAGCTACACATGCATTGCCAGCACCGAGCTGGACAAAGACCTGGCCAAGGCCTACCTCACCGTGCTAGGTAACTGCCGCTGCTCCTACTGGCACAGACCACCCTCCCCTACCCCTCCTCAGCAGCCAGGGAAGCAGTGGGCCTAAATGGTTCCAAGGGCCATGGCTGTGGTCAGCAGGCTGATGAGGTATGGTGATTGCTTGCCCTTTGATCTAAGGGTCAGGGGGCTGCCACTTTCAGAACAAGCTATGCAGGACAACTGACCTCCTGAGTTGAATGAATGCCCCCAAATCCTCAACTGAAGGGTGCCTGAATGATAGAGAGAAGGTGGGGAAGGGTTTCTCATTGTGATCATTTTTACCTCCTTTACAGCTAACTCGGTACCACTAAGTCAATTAAAACAGTTCCTAACTAAAGCAAGACTGAGTTTTGTGTTTGTCCTTCCAACAACCTCTGCTAGCCTTACTCCCCCTCCACCTGCCCCTGGTTTGTTTCATGGTGCAAGATGATCCGTGTCTCTTCCTGCCCTGGTGTCCAGGCCCAGTGGTAAATGCTAAATCATCCCAAGCTGAGGGGAAGGTAGCCTTTCCTTCCAAGGAAGCAACTCCCCTGTTATCTCTTCCCATCTCTGTCCTCTCACTGGGCGTCCTGCATCCATGCTGTCAGCTCAGTTGCTTTTGTCCCTTCTGCAGTGGGGAGGCACAGTTGCTGGGAAAGGTGAACCCGGGGACAAAAGTAATGTTGGAACGGGAAGAAAACAGAGATTCCACCACCAGTTGTGGCAAAAACCCAAGAAGGCCTCTGTAAGGGATGGGGGACTTTCCACGGAAGGGTGGGTGAAATCTTACCTGGAACATCTCCACCCAGGGGCAGCTGTTCAAGCCTCAGCTGCCTATTCCCATCCTTGCAGAACACCTTTAACCCTGGATAACCTGCTAACCTGGATAACCTGTCTTACCTTTGCAGCTGATCAGGCCACTCCAACTAACCGTTTGGCTGCCCTACCCAAAGGTAATTCATACTAATCACAGGCCCTCGCCCAGGGCCTGTCTAGGCATCTGAAAGGGTAGAGTCTAGAGGGAGGAGGGCACTGCAGGAAAGGATATGCTGTGTAGTTTCACTGGTGACACTTCCTCCCCCTGCCCAACTTGACCTTCAAGTGTCCCAGGTCCACCCCTCTGAGCCCATGTCACAGCCCTGCTCTGGGTCCTTCTCCTTTGCAGGGAACATTGAATTGGCTTCAGTTGAGCTCAGAAGTCCTTGATTGCTCTTTCATCTGTGATTCTTACTTTGCCCACGCTCACCACGCCCTTAGGGTGGCCCTGTTCTCTTCCCTCAGCTGGGCCTCAGAAGAGCTGAAGGCCCAGTCAGGAAAGCCCACGTACTTTGAATTCTAGTAGGCCCATCTTTTTGCAGCCTCCCCACATCTATGACTATACACCCATTTATAATCTACACTCTCACATGCACGCACACACAAATGTGGGTTCATGGGACCTACCTTCCAGGTCCTTCCAGTAACCAGCTGGAATATGGAAATCACAGGTTCAGGGAGCCAGGATGGGGAGAAGTTCTTGCCTCCCCACCACCAGTCAGTGGCTGGATGACATTAACCCCAGGCCAGGATGGCACTTATGGTACACCTGCTAAAGAAATCCCAGCAAGACTGGAGCCCAAAAGGATGCTGCCCCCACCCCTATTTGGAAGCCAGCTGGGGCTCCTTGGTCCTGCTGACTGTCACTGAACTTCTAGACTAAGTCTCCGTTCCCTGCCTGGCCTCGCCTCTTTCTTTGTCCCCTACCCTGCCCCCCACCCCATCTCCCTAACCTGCCTGCCCTGCTCAGCACTCCTACCACCTTCCTGGGCTTCTGCCCCTCAGAGCCTCAGCGCACAGAGTAGAAGGTAATCAGCATGGGGAGATGAGAGAAAGTCTCACACGTGACAGCTTTTCAAATGTTGTCATCGTGAGTCTGATGAAAAGGGCAACTTCCCAAATGTTGGCACTCGAAGAATATCCACAGTAACGGATGGGTTGGTCGTAATTCTTTCTGTGCCCCATGTGATCCTTTTTATTGCCTTCCTCCACATCCTTTGATACTCTTTTGGGAGTGGGGTGGAATTTGTTCTTCCTTTGCCCCCTGAGGGAATGGGTGGTCCCTGTGCTGACCCTAAGCCTGTCAGGGACCTGCCTGTATGGGGTGGCGTCCAGGGCTGAGGCCGCTCTAACTCAGGGGTCCTGCGTGCTGTGTTCTCCCTCTACTGCCAGGACGGCCAGACCGACCCCGGGACCTGGAGCTCACTGACCTGGCTGAGAGGAGCGTGAGGTTGACCTGGACCCCGGGTGACGATAACAACAGCCCCATAACAGGTCAGCTCAGGGGCCCTGTGCTCCAAAGCCAGAAGAGGGGATGTTGGCAGCCTTCAAGCATAAGGCCTTCCCCTGGCTTCCCACTTGCGCCTCACTTGATGTGCGCCCTGGGCTATTTGCAGAATGTGTGTAGACCTGTTTCCCTTTCCATGTCTTGGGAAGAACTCTCCCTGCGCCTTCATCTCCCCAAAGGAGATTGTTAAGATTAATGGAGGCTAAGGAGGAAGAACACAGCTAACTCAGCTCCTGAAACAGTTCTGTCTTCCTTGTCCACTCAGACTACGTTGTCCAGTTTGAAGAAGACCAGTTCCAACCAGGAGTCTGGCATGACCATTCCAAGTTTCCCGGCAGTGTCAACTCAGCTGTCCTCCAGCTGTCCCCATATGTCAACTATCAGTTCCGGGTCATTGCTGTCAACGAGGTCGGAAGCAGCCACCCCAGCCTCCCCTCCGAGCGCTACCGAACCAGTGGAGCACGTGAGTACTCGAGGCTAAAGAGAAGGCTCTGGAACCAGGCACCCTGAGTTCCCATTGAGTTGCCCCAGCTCCCAGCTATGTGATTTTGGGCAAGTTACTTACCTTCTCCAAGTCTTGTTTTTCTCATCTGTGAAACAGATGACACCCCCATCGTGGGGCTGTTGTGAAGATTACATTTGAAAATGCATGTCAAGTCCTAGCATAATGCCTGGCACATAGTCAGCACTTAGTAAATTTTTACTGCCATTGTTGTTTTTAGTAATATTATGAATAACTCTTGATTATCTCCTTTAAAGGGGAGAGCTATGGCAAAGATTTGCAATAGAAATATCTAATCCAGTATTATATCCGATTCCCTTTCCTAACGTGTTTGAGTAATGTTTGGATTTTTTAACTCACACTAGTTCATAGAGGGTGGAGAAACTCCCAGGGCTGAGTGACAGGATAAACCAGACTGGTATTAAACATATTTATTGGATAATCTGGGAAGGAGCTAATCCACACTGCGTTGGCTGTATTGACCACCCACAATGTGAAAGCCTTGTAATAAATGCTATCTGGTAAGGGATTAAAACTCAGAAGAAATTAGCCCTGCTTTGGGGGGTTTAATCTTAGATAGGAAGGCCCACCACGCCCATGAGAAAAAGACAGAACAAGTTCAGTTACATACGGGATTGTTAGATGCCATCAAGTCAATACCAGCTCAAACTCATAGCAACCCCATGTGACAGAGTAGAACTGTCCCATAGGGTTTTCTAGACTGTAATCTTTATGGGAACAGATCACCGAGTCTTTCTCCTGCAGAGCCTCTGGGTGAGTTCAAACCACCAACCTTAACCTTTGTGCCACCAGAGCTCCTTACATATGGGATAGTGAGTATGTAGGTGCTGAGATAAGACGGAGTGCAGAAGGGATCAGTCAGTGGAGAGGAGATAGGTTGCTTACCGTGCCCTGGAAGGGCACAAATTGGACTTGAACTGTTGTGTACATTATTGGGTTCCAGCCCCTGAGTCCAATCCCACGGATGTGAAGGGAGAGGGGACCAGGAAGAACAACATGGAGATCACGTGGACGGTAAGAGTCCCTCCCAGTCCTGCCACCTGACGGCCCCTGCTCCCCTGGCATTGTGCACCTGGGGGCCCTTTCCCTTTATTCCCCTGAGGCCTCAAGACCACAGTGTGGTTCAGGCCACCTGGCTGGTTTTGGTGGCCACCTTTTTTCAAGAAACCTAGCTCTTCTCCGAGATAAACATCCAGAAACCAGTCAGGAGAAACGTCTAAGAGCCAGAGAGGAAACGGAGCAAGCGTGACCAAGGAACCTAGACTGCCAGTCTGATGACAATTACAGAGAATTCCAGCAAAACAGATGGACTTTTTTCACAGAAGGAGGGATTTAAGTTACACCTTAGGAAGGATTTAGCCTAAGCACCAGAGCCTAACTTTGGCGTATTCTGGGGTCCTTTCGTTAGACATTGTTGAGAGTGAAGGAGAGACCAGCACCTGAGAGGTTCTCAGTGTAGGCCTTCTTTCAGTCTGGGAATGAGCTAGATGACTGGAAAGACTTCCGCGAGGCCAGGATGGTAAAATCCTATCTTCGTCTTGGCTCACTGGCTCCACCTTCCAGAGCGAAATTAGATACGTGCTTGTATTCGTTCCCGAGGGCTGCCATAACGAGTCCCGCAAACTGGGGGCTTAAAACACCAGAAATTCATTGTCTTACAGTTCAGGAGGCTCGGCATCTGAATTAGGGTGCTAGCAGGTCCATGCTTGCTCTGAAGCCTTTAGAGGAAGACCCTTCCTTGCCTTTTCCCGTGTGTGGTAGCCTCACGTGTCCCTTGGCTTGTGGCAGTGTAACTCCAGTGTCTGCCTCCTTCTTTATATGGACACCAGTCATGCTGAGTTAGAGCTCACCCTACTCCAGTATGACTTCATGTTAGCTTAACTAATAATATCTGCAAAGACCCTATTTCCAAATGAGGTCACCACAGGTTCTAGGGGTTAGGACTTGAACGTCTTTTAGGGGGACACAACCCATAACAGTGGTGTCTAAGTGACTTTTTAAACCACTTCAAATCTGAGGGAGGCAGTTCAACCACTGAAATATAAACATTTCTAAGGCACTGCCATGGGTTGTCAGACATGGAGATACGATGTTTGAAATCATGGCATCCTAGTCTCTGAGGTCCTCGTCTCCCGGCAGCCATGGCCAGAGCGGAGTAACAGCTGGGCTGAGCCCAGCCCAGGACGCCTGGACCTTATCTTCATGACTTCCACAGGGCTAGTTTTGGTCTACAGCTCTGCACTGCAGGCTTCTAGGGGGCTGATTCCTGGACTGGGCCCTCAGGGAATGGAATAAAGAACAGAATTACCTGACTCTTTAAGACTTAGAGAATTATGACCTGTTGGAAAAGACAGGACAGAAACATGGATTTAGTAGAACTGAGATCAGTTCTTGCTATTTGAGTTCATTGGCAAGAGGCATGCTGTGATTAAACTCAAATTCGTCCCTTTCTGACTTTGGAGAATATTATTGTCTGTCTTCTCTTTTATTTTGGCACCTGTCATAGGAAGAGTCCTGTGGAAAATAAAGCTTTCACTTCCTACACATCTGCAAATTGGGGTGACTGGGTGTCAAAGTGACTGGGTCTTGGATGAAACCTTTGTCACAGAGAGGCTACATACAGAGAAAATCAGGAATTGGTCCTGCGTGCCAAAAATGCTGCTGAGTTCATTGGCCTCTGGGCTTTTGGGGGACTCAGCAGGATAGGGAGGTCGTGCTCTCGCCGGTCCTGCAAGGGGACTGACCGCGGTTGGGTGGACCTGGGAACGGCACCTAGCACAAAAAAAGAGGGCATGCTGTGGGTGGGTCTGGGATCCTCTGCCCGTACCCTCTCCATCCCTCTGTCTGTCTCTCCCTGCTCAGCCCATGAATGCCACCTCTGCCTTTGGCCCCAACCTGCGCTACATCGTCAAGTGGCGGCGGAGAGAGACTCGCGACACCTGGAACAACGTCACAGTGTGGGGCTCCCGCTACGTGGTGGGGCAGACCCCCGTCTACGTGCCCTATGAGATCCGAGTCCAGGCCGAAAATGACTTTGGAAAGGGCCCGGAGCCAGAAACCATCATCGGTTATTCCGGAGAAGATTGTGAGTACCCTGCACCCTCCTGCCCAGGACCCTCACGGCTGGGACACGCAAGGCCACTCTCACAGGCCAGGAACCTTGGGGTTAGGCCGTAGGATTTCCACAAACATCCTGGGAGGACAACCAGTTCCCAGGAAAGGGACATCTCCTACAGTGACCTAGAGCAGACAGGCATCTCACAATGTCAGGAACAGATTTATTATCATCCAAACACTGGTTAGAATTACTAAATGTCACTACTGGAAAGGTCATTAGAAATCACCGAGTCCTATACTCTCGTTTTACAGATGTCACAGCTAAGACCCAGAAAGGGAAAACCCCTGCCCAGTGTTACATTATAGTACATGTCAGGCTTGAAAGTAGACCCCAGGCCTACTGATCCCCAGGCGGGCTACCTTACTGCCAGGCCGTGTTAGTGCCCAGAGACTACAGGACTGTCTGTCCCAAAGAGCCATCCTTAGACGCATGCACGAGAAGCAGGGCTGCAGACCGGGCCCCTTCCCGCCAGCTCCCCAGGGGAAGCCTCAAGGGCTGTGGAAGTCTACAGGGCACCAGATTGGAACAGCCATTTGCCAGCATTCCCAGTGCTGCTCCAGGCCCTTGAATTGCGTGTAAAATGAGAAGTTCCTTGGAGGCTAGCACTGGGTAAATCAACAAGATTCTGAACATGCATGTGGAGGTATGTGCCTGGCTTCCCAGACGGTGGCAGCCTGTCTGACCCAGCATGTCAATCTAAGAGGCTGCTGAGCAAAGCAAGGGGGCAGTGGAGCAGCCTCCTGGCTCAGGGTGATCCATGTCCTGTTGGGTCTGGTCTGATCGAAAAAAAGATCGTATAGGTGAAATGGGGTGACCAGAAGGAAGGGAGGAGGGTGAGTCTTGGGGAACAGCGGAGTCAGAAGGGGCAATGCTGGGGTCATGGGTAGGGACAGTGGTGTTCACAACAATGAGGCAGTAGAAGTGGGGGTTGGGCCCTGTGGCCCATTTCCTGGAGGATGAGCACAAGGGGTCAGCAGGCCCTTCTGCCCATCCCACTTTTCACCTTCATGTTGGCAGACGCTTCCAGACAGGAAGCCTATGGGGATCACAGGATGGTAAGTGTGGGAAGGGCAGCGTCTGGCCGTGGACTTCCTGGGCTGTCCCATAGTTCCCAGGGCATCCATCCACCCCTGCAGCTATGCTCTGATGGATTAGAGGGCGCAAGGCAGAACTGCTTTAGCAGCTGAGTGGAGGGCAAGAATCAGTCCTGGGGGAGGGAATGGACCTCCCTTTCCAGGTCGTCATAGGATCAGGATCCCTTCCTGAGCGAGATGAGGGCTTCTTCAGACTGGATAATGTGGTAAGGGGAATTGAGCAGAGTCCTGGCAGGAGACAGATGGCACTCTCAAAAGGGACTGTTAGTAATGTATGGATAGGGTCAGAGGGACAACAGCAAGGCTTGGGGAAACGCCTTGAGGGCTAGCAACAGTAGGAAGCCATTACCCACCACCCTGAGCCTTGAAGGAGCAGAGAACAAATGAGTCGCCAGAACCAGCAAGAGAGCCACCTACAGGAATGTGGCCTTGGGTAGAAGAGTACAATGCTGTCAACCTGCAGCCCAGCCAGGAGGGATCCAGGAGAACATATACCCAACCTCACTCTCCTCCCACCCTGGGATCTCCTTTTGGTGCCTCTTATTGGCCAAACCCATCCAGAAGCCTGAGAACAAGGGAGCTCAGCTGATATAGTTCAGACAGGGCAGCCTCCCAGGAGCTGGAACGGTGTGGGAAATGGAATGGAGGGGCAAATAGAGATTATCCAGCACATGAGGGCAGCAAGTAATTTCCCTCTAAACATGCAGGCAGAGTCATCCCACGTGGACTGCCACTCTCTTGCCCTGAATCTCCCCCACACTCCTCCAAGTACAGTCTGATGGTGGCGACATAGCCCCTGCCCTCATGTAGTGCCCAGTGTACAGAGCGGGTGAGGGACAGGCCAGCGGGGACCCTAGAGCCCAGGGCCAGCCCTGCCTGCATAACCAGCTCTCTGTCCACACATTGCAGATCCCAGGGCTGCACCCACTGATGTTAAAATCCGCGTCCTGAACAGCACCGCCATCAGCCTTCAGTGGAACCGCGTCTACTCCGACACGGTCCAGGGCCATCTCAGAGAGTACCGAGTGAGCAAGCCAGCTCCCAAGTCTCCTAATCACCCAGCTCGCTAACCAGGGCAGGGGGCAGCAGATGCAGGGCATAAGATATTCAGAAGGGGTGCTAGGGATGCTTACTGAATCCAGAGATGCTTCAAGAAGATGATGTCTGGCGTTAGCTTTCCAAAAATGTACCCAGATGACTTCTGCAACAAATAGACTGATTCTCTTAGCTCAGCTGACAGTCATGTGAAGGGTGGTGGGTCTGAGTTGACATTGCACAGCACATTATAATGCATGTGTAAGTGGACACACATGTATATTTGGGAGCGGTGTTGCTGACCTGCTGAGCTATACCCTCCCCTCTCCTAATGGCCCTGGTGGGCTGCTTGCCTGACCCAGGTCTGCTTTTCTAAAGTCCCAACTAACAGGCAAAGCCACTAAAAGGACGTCGACACCTTCCCTGTTGTGGCAGCCAACTCTGGATTTTCCAGCGCGTGGGTTATTAGGCCCTTGGTTTCTGGTCCTCCCTGCCTGGGAGCAGTTTCTGGGCAGTTGTCCCTCCTCTTGGAAACGGTAGCCTGAGGCGGGAAGAAGGGTGAGAAAGCCCAGGGCAGACAGGCTCTCCACCCTTATGAAAGCAGTAGCTCCACTGAAAAATTGGATAAGGGAGGCTGTAAACATGGGTTAACCCAGGTACTGTGACCTCAGAGGTCATCAAGAGTTGGCTGGTGGACAAACGGGGGCTGAATGGAGGGGGTTAATCTCTTCTTGGGAAACGAATTTGGTAAGTAGGGGAAGAAAGGCAGGATGATGTATACACTTGAGTGAGCCATTTCCTTGCAGCTGGATGTTAACTTGTTAAGTTGGCCCTAACCTATTTGCCTGGAGATTTTTCTGGCTAAAGCGTCCATTTGGTCCCCCTCTTAAGTCTGGCCTTAACTCCTTTCCTTGCCATTGGTGGCCTGGGTGACACTGCTGTGGTCATCCTGACCTATGGCTTCTTACCCACTGCTAATCAGACCTCACGTTGCAAACTCTTTCTACTGTGCCCTGTGACACGCCCACCTTCCATAGGCCATCCTGCCTCATCCAAGCTCTTGCCACCAGTCAGCCTAGCATCCCACTGACTGGGACATATCACTGTCATTGGACATGTGTCAATCTCATCCCTAAAGATCTTCAAACAGTATTAAAGGAAGCCATTGACTTCAAAGGATTAAATCAACCCTTTCTTATATTCAGACTTCTGGGGGTAACCTGCTACTTTTCAGCTGCTGTCTGTTGCCAATCTAAACCATACTAATCTAGCTCAAGGTGGTGTGGTCTTTGTGCAGAGAGCAGAGCTTTCCATGCCTGGACCCTTGGCTCACATACGTGGTCTGTCACTGACTGACTCCCTGAGCAACCTGTTACCTAGCTTGGAAATAAGTCCCATCATGGAGCAGCTGAGTTGTAAGTCTGGCCAACTTGCCCATTTCCCAGAGAGGTGACATGGCTCAAAAAATGATTGGAACCAAAAACCCTACTTCTTGTTTGACATAAATTCATATTCACCAGTGGCTAATGAATGGGGACCATAAGACTGCTTCCCCAGTCCTATGTGGGACTGATGAGGTCATTTGGGACTTGAAGCCTGTAGCAAGCAAAGGGAAGACCGGTCACTACCACCACCACTAACAACTAACCCAGCTCTGCCTGACTGACCCCTCACCAGCCTGCCTCTGTCCTGAAGGCCTACTACTGGAGGGAGAGCAGCTTGCTGAAGAACCTCTGGGTGTCTCAGAAGAGGCAGCAAGCCAGCTTCCCTGGTGACCGCCTCCGTGGCGTGGTGGGCCGCCTCTTTCCCTTCAGTAACTACAAGCTGGAGATGGTTGTGGTCAACGGGAGAGGCGATGGGCCTCGCAGTGAGACTAAGGAGTATACCACCCCAGAAGGAGGTAGGTCCTCCCTGCGGTTCTCCAGGGTGGGGCAGGACAAGGGGAGGCACATACTGGTGGGCCTGAAGCAGCTCTAGCGTGGCTTGGCATGGACGGCACAAGCGGACCTCTGTGTGATCTGAGGAGCCCGTGACCTGCAAACTGAGCAGCTTCTGCCTTCTCACTGAGTGATCCACCTCCAAGGTGACCTGCGCTGACAGGAGGTTGTATCTCAAGAGAAATCCTGTGCAGTCTGCTGACATAATTCCCGAAAGGCTATGCAAACTGACCCTCAAGGGCACTGTGGGACCGTTGGTTGCCCCACCACCTCCTGAGGCTGAAGGCACCATGTTCATCCTGACCACTAGGAGGCGTCTGATTTGTTTGTCAGCACCAAGGACCATCAGAGTTCCTGGGTAGTGCAAACAGTTAACACACTCGGCTGCTAACTGAAAGGCTGGAGGTTAGAGTCCACCCAGAGGTGCCTTGGGGAAGAGGCCTGGAGATCTACTTCTGAAAAATCAGCCATCGAAAACCCTATGGAGCACAGTTCTACTCTGATGCACATGGGGTCATCATAAGTTGGAGTCAACTCTACGGCAACTGGTTTTAAGACCATCTTCAAGAACTCTTTCACCACTGTTATCAAGAAGCTTTAATTGAGATAGTCAGCTCCACAGAAGGTTGTCTAGATACAGCCCCTGCCTTCTGCAGGTCTATGGTCTGATCTGGTCCTAGGGTGCAGGCACGTGCTCTGAAGGACTGGAAGTTCCGGGTCCATCTCTTTGTTCTTGCCAAGCCTTTTATCTGCTTTACATTTACTTCACCCTCTTCTGTTTTCTTCTCCCTCCCTGCTTAACTGTTGTTTTTCTTCTTCTCTTCCTCTTTTCTACTCTCCTTTGTTCTTCCCTCTTGTTTTCTTTATTCCTGTCTTTTCCCCCTCCTTGTTTTGGTTTTCACGATCTGCCTCTCCAATCACTCCCATCCTTTCCATCTTGGGTTTCTTTCTCCTCACCCCGGAACCCAACATTCTCAGCTCAGAAGCCTGGGCCTGCTGTTTTGACCCAGTGGTGAGAATCGTTGTCTGAGGACTGGGAGCTGCAGCCTCTGTATGAAAATAGCCATCGTGGAGGTGTCTGGAGCCTAAGAGCCTAACACGTGCTGAATCTAGGGGAATTGCTAAAGGAAAACTTGATCTACCTCTTCCCTATTTATGCAGCAGGGTCTGAGCCATGGTTGTCCTCAAACCTGGGGGAGATGACATCCTGGATGGGGCAAGGGGTTCTGGCTTAGCAGCTCTCCAGCATGGGGGTTGCTTGGAGGTGGTGCCTTCATACTTGTGCTTGTTTTTTGTGTTTTCCTCATCCTCTCCACCCCCTCCTCTCATCCCCCTTGCTCTCTCCTCCTTCCCCAAGTACCCAGTGCCCCCAGGCGTTTCAGAGTCCGGCAGCCCAACCTGGAGACAATCAACCTGGAATGGGATCACCCAGAACACCCCAATGGGATCCTGATTGGATACACTCTCAAATATGTGGCCTGTACGTTCTGCCCTTCTCTTTCTTTAGATAATCTTGGAATCAGAAACCCCATTCTTATGCTTTTCCTGAGGGATCGAGGTAGAGAGTCCAAGAGTGCAGAGAGTATTACATGAGGCGTGGAGGGGCCAAGAGGGAAGTTCCCCATGGAATTGGGGGGGCAGGTGAGACCCAAATTCATTACACAGCAATGTCTGCAGTGACCTTCTAGTCTGATGGGTGAGACAAAGGGAACTTCTGGTCTAATGAGAGAGACACCCTGGCCCCCCAGGGATCTTAAGTCTCCAAGACCTGTAAGTTTAGGAGAAAGAGTTCCTCACTTGGTGGAGCTTCCATCCGATGGGGTAGACAGAACATGTACAGGAGCCCACATGACACTCAGAAGACACCTTGAGGTCTCATGTATGATAAGACAGTGACTGAATCAGGAACCGGGGTCAGGAAGACATCGTGTCAGGAACTCAGCTTTGCCATGCAGGGACAAGAGTGTCATTACATTTGAAAACTTGGTTTTCTAAAGTAGATGATGTACCTCCTTGGGAACTTCAAAGGGCCAGGTGTGGTGTTGTTAACATTTGAATAGCCCAGTGTCAACCTTGTGCTTGTATGCTGTCCTGAATAGATCTCTGAACTTGGCCCCTTCCCCTTTGAGGTGTACTTTAAAAAGGAGACATTAACATCAAAAGCTCCAGTGGTTTTTTTCCTAGTTCTGTTTGAAAGGAAGAAAGGAACTCTTGAGTTTTATCCTTTTTGAAAAGGCTTGGGGATTATAAACCAAATCTTTCTGAATAAGCCACATAACTTTACAGTGAGCTAGAGATAATGAGATCAGTGAAGAAGTCTTAACCCCGCTGTGTAATCAAAGGGCCCTGCCTTTGAACTCCCGTCTCCCATCTCCCGGGTCTTTAAGATCACCAGGCAGGGTCCACCGTTTTCCTTTCCAGCAAAGTCAGGAAAAGCTTTCTCTTTCCAGCTGCAAATTCCATACCCCATCGTGGTAAATGTCTCTAAAGTTTAATTCCACTTACCATCTCTCCCCAGTTAATGGAACCAAAGTAGGAAAGCAGATAGCAGAAAACTTCTCTCCCAATCAGACCAAGTTCACAGTGCAGCGAGCAGACCCCGTGTCACGTTATCGCTTCACCCTCAGTGCCAGGACGCAGGTGGGCAATGGGGAAGCGGTCACGGAGGAGTCACCAGCACCGCCGAATGAAGGTAGGTGCATCGCCGCACCCCTGGGGATGGTCCAGCTAATTTAGATGCTTAGGGCAACACACTGAGACCTGTGCCTGGCATTCTGGCCTCTTGGCCTCCGATGGGGAGAAAAGGAGGCTGCAAGTCCTCCATAAGTGAGAACCCATCTTGTCTCCGGGGAGGTAGGAGCTGATCTTGGATCTGGGAACTCAGGCCTTAGACTGTTGGTGTCAGACCTGGGTCCCCACTTTGCCTTGACTTGCTCAGTTAGTTAACATCTATGATCCTTCCTTCCTGTGGAGGTCTAAGGAACAGGACATGAATCTGTAGTTGGGATGAGGAGATAAGGGAAAGCACTTTGGAAGCAAATATGCAGATAAATCCCAAAGAGTGCCCCATGGAGCTCTGGGGACAAGCCTTCTTTTTCCAGGGGAACATGGGGCCAAGGCAGTAGGAGAGACTGCCATGACTGAAGCCACTTGCCAGGATCATGAGCAGAGCAGGGCGTGTATCCCTCCTTGCAGCCTGAATTGAGTGAGCTCTCCAGCTGTGGAGAGGAGTGGGGAGTGGGAATAACCATTTGCCTATGCAACTTCACTAAGAACAAATGAATCCCTCCCTCCCTTGGTCCCTGGCATCTTCTAGCAGCACAGAGGCCCTCACGGGAGCTTGGCCTGCCTGAGAACTCCGCTAGAGGGGGCTCTAAGCTCACTTGCACTTGGGCAGGCTTCAGTCCCGAATGTGCCTTCCAGGAGCCTCTCAGGGATGTGAGACTCTAGAAGCCCCATATGGGCAGATCCCCTGTGAAAAGGTGGGGTGGGGCCCTCTGTCTCTCCAGAGGCATGTTGATCTATTCAACAGCCATTTCCTGGGCACCTACCGTGTGAGGTGGCAGGCACTGTGCCACAATCAGGGGAAACAGAGGTAGTAAGAAGTTCACACACAGTGTAGAAGGGGGAGACATCTGCAAAAATATCTCATTGCAATTCAGGATGAGAAATGTTCTGTCTAGATGGGGAACGTGCAGTGGCTGTGCAGAGGAGGTGGGATGAATTCTGCAAGGAAAGACTTCAAAGAGGAGATGACTTGAGGAGGGATCCTCGAGGCTGGCGGGTTATCATGTCTAATGCTTTCTCTGGAAGCTCAGGTCCCATGGCCTGACCCTGGCCCAGATGGGCCTCCTGAGAGCCACTGCTCCCAATCCCCAACCCGGGAGAGCGTCAGTGCTTCCTTAACTGGGGCTGCCAGCCCGGCTCCCTCTGCTGCCTGACCCCAAGCTCCAGGTTCAGATTCATAATCATTCCCTGCATCGCTCCCCATCCCCACCCACCCCCTTGCCACACAGCAGGCCGTCACTGAAGGGGAGGGGGAGATGGGCAGGAGTTGGTGACAGGCTGACAGTCCTTTCTGCATCCCTCTCTGGTCTTGTAAACCCTGGAGCAAGTCACACAGTAAGCTCCCACTCCTGATGTACTCTTTCAACCCCTTGGGCACTTGGGGACTTTATTTGGATGGGGGGACATTGGGTAAGTGGCTGATGCATGCCTATAACCAAAGACCCAGGCTGGCAGGGATGATGCATTTTCTTGATTACTAAATTCTGTGAGAGGATATACAGAGAAAGCCTCTACTCCTTCCCCGTCTCCTCCCCAGTACAGAAAATTGGATAAACAAAGCCCCATTGTCCAGCCCCAGTGACCACCACACAGAATGTTCTGCATTCCCAGGGGACAAGAGAACAAAGAATGGCGTTCTTCTCAACTTACTGATTTGCAGCAAATTCAGGAATTTCTTTTAAGGCTCTTAGTCTACAGTTGGTTTCTGATTTCACAAAGCACAGCTGGTGGGAAAGAACTAGGGCAATAGAATTCCAGGACAGGGGGACTCAGGGCGCCATCTTATCATTGTTCCTTGACCTTCCAAGGCTAAGATGGTGGTAGGAGTGTCCCGCTGAATACACTCCTCCCCCGTCCACTCCAACACCAATTAGTGTCTTCCCCCTGAAGATGCAAGAACAATCTTTGAACTGGGGTTGGTGTCTTCCTGCCTCCAGGGCCTTATGCCCTCAATTTCTGGCATCATGGAAGGTCATCCAGGCTGCTTCATAGAAGTCATTTCCCTCTAGCCAGGGCAGGACATAGCTTTGGGGAAAGAGGTGGAACATAGCACTCTGGGTGGACTGTCCCCATGTCACCTCTTAGGTGACTAGTCCTTGAGAGGTAGAGCAGAGTGTGTTAGAATGGTGTCTAAGAACTGGGGGCAGAGATTTCTGCAGGAACATGCCAGACTCCAGTGGAGTTTAACATGACCCATAAATACCAGTTTTCATTCTCAGGGCAGGGGCCTGCAGCTGGCCGTACCCTCTGGGTCAGGTTTAAGCCAGAACCTTCTCTGCTTGCTTGTCCTGTGGTTTCACCTGTGCCTGTTTTCTCTTCTCTCTGTCATCCTCTTCCCTCTCTCTGGCCATCTTGGGTGCTGTGTTCTGAAGCTACTCCAACCGCAGGTACTGTACCAGCAGCAGAGGTAATGGGCATGGCATGGGGCAGTGCAGGTGGAGGCCAGCCTAGCCAGGGTGAAGCCGGAGGGAGACGCTCGGGATGAAAGCATGCTCTGGGCTCACCCTTTCAGCAGTTGGGAGGCCAGGCTACTGAGGAGGATGTGTATGGAGGATGGAGCCAGAGGAGATCAAACACATTCTCCCTGTTTCGCTTATTATTTGCCCTCTGACATCCTACTGAGAAGGAGGATGACTTAGAAGGGGTCCCCATACACACACAGACTCCAGACCCCTCTGGAGCTGCAGTTTTCTCTAAAGCTGGAGGATTCCCCTGAGCCCCTGGGCCCTTGCCTAGGATTGGCACCTCACGGTGGTAGAGGCATATTGTCCACAGCCTTTGGGCCACCATCTGTGCCCCCAGAAGGAATGCTGCACTGGGAGCAGGGGGGCAGCTGGCCCCATCTCCTGGTTAGGCTGCCCCCCCCGAAAGGGTGACCTGTAGTTGAGCGCGCTGTGCATGCTAGCCTTGCATGCTGCATGGGGGGCCTGCCACCCACTCTGCCATCTGCTGTGGGCTCTGGTCTGTGAGATCCAGTGAGCATGTCCTTGGGTAGCGGCTCCAGGGCCTGGAGTCTCAGTGGGCCCCTCACCCCTCAGCAACCCAGCTCAAAGTCTTTAGTGCTAAGAACAGTCTCCACTCTCAGGCCTGGGGCAAGGGGTGGATCTACGGCAGAAATGAGGAGTTGGGCAGGCAGGTCCTGGTGTAGGAGATGACCTACTAGCCAAGTTCCTCCTCTCTACTCCTCCTGTCAAGAGTTTGAGAGGAACATCAAAGGGCTCTTTACCATGGAAGCCTGTCCTCAAGCTGGAGAAACCGGGCAGGGGAGTCCAAGGGACCCTGCCCTGCTCTTGAACTCTCTCTGAACCTGAGTCTCATCAGGAGGGAAATGGGAACAGGGCTCACCCTGGCAGAGCAAAGGCTGTGGGGCAAGGGCTCACCAGAGCCTCCTCCAGCCCTAGGCTGCGAGGACACCAGAATCAGGCAAGGGATCTGAGGGTGGGCTTTATGGAGAGGCTGCCCGCTTGCCCAATTGGTTTGCCTCCCACCTTCACTGATTTATCTCCCACCGCCATTTTAGGTTGATTCTCTTTCTTTTGCACACCCTGCTTCCTTCAGTTTGTGTATTCTTTGCTAGTCAGCTATGTGGGTGGTGAGCTGTCATCGACCTTCCGTCCCCCAGTCCTCTCCACCCCTTGGAAACCCAGGTTGGCTGAGCTCCAGGGCCTCCTCACAAGGTCTGAACGGCTCTGCTAGGATGCGAGGTGAGAGGTTGCCTCCAACCTGGGGACCTTGCCTTGTCCCACTCTGAGGGTTTCTCTGACTCCCTGGTTAGCATTTCATACGAGGCTACTCCGTGACTGTGCTGCCATGAACACAGGGTAGCCCGAGGATTGGCAGAGCAGGGAAGTGAAAAGCAGGAAGGGCACCAGGGGAGCCAGTGAGAGGCTCACTAAAAAGGAGCCCCTGGCCCACCTCCCCTTTCTGGCATCCTGGCACCCGAGGCAGGTGGGTCTGCCGCAGGGAGTCTGCCTTGCTCAGTGGGCATCTGTGCCTGTCTATGCTGCCCTTATGAGTGACAACTGAGAGGGGGTAGAAGGTGTAGTTCTAAAACCCCATTTCCTACTTCCCATTTAGGAAAGACCGAAACTTATCATTTTATGCAGAATGATCTCGGGGTCTGTGTCCATCAATCAAATGTGTTTCCTAGGTGCCAGTTTCCACGTGACGTGGTGATAGAGGCATATGACACGTTTTTGTGAAGGAGATGTGCTGATGACATCAGCTGTTTTCAGCCTTAAGTGCATAAGGACCTTCTGCACAGTCTGCAGGTGCCAAGCCATGGAGCTCAGGCGCTAACTCTTTGACATGGGCCTGGTGTCCCACACACGCTCCCTTCCCCTCATCCTCTGCAAACCTGGGCGGGTTTCTCCGCAAACTGATCTGTTTACATGTCAGCCTCCCATCCATTGTATCTGCCATCTCCTAGGACTGCTGCCCATCTGTCCTGACAATCTGCATTTGGCCAGGGTAGTCCAAATGCCATGTGGACACTCTTGGACTGAACTTTCCACCTTGGAATGTCTGGGAACTGCTGTCCTCGTCTTTGACTCAGTGGTGTCATTTTTTGTGATGACCTGCCAGCTCAGCTCAGTTCAGCAAATGTTCGGTGGGCCCAGTGCCATGGCAGGTTCTAGAGACAGAAAGATGAATAAGAGCCATCTCGTGCTATGGGTGGGGGAAGAACTGTCACCTCTCTTCTCAGTTTTCTCCATCTTCTATTTGGTGTCCCTGAAGGCCTTGTGGGGAACCCTTGGTGGCTGGGGTGGCTTCCAATGTGCATTAGGGTGCCCCTGCCTTCTGGTAGGGGTCCTGTGCTTCCAGGTCCAGCCCACCCTGGCTGCCCCTTAGGCAGTGGAGGGTTGCTGCTCCTTCTCTCAGTTGCCAGGCTGGCAGCCTCGACTGAGCCCTGACCAGGGTTGTTCCCTAGCTGTTCCTGTTGTGGCTAAGATGACATCTTAGCCCAGAAATGTGTCTGCCTCGCTTGTGGTCCACTCTGCTTATAAGCCCCATTTTTGGCCCTTATTCCCTTTCCATCCTCTACCCCACCCTGCCCAATGGATTGAAATAATCTGAATCTACTTTTACCTGAGCAGTGGACAAAGTCTTCCCCATGGTAAACTTATCTTCTCTTTCCTGCCTATGACACCTCACTCAGCCCTGGCCCTTCTGTCCCTTATCTCAGAGCCTTTTCTTCTTACCTCTGTCTTCCCTGTCTCTCTAGTGGCCCTGTCCAGCCTTGGGGTGATAGTCATAGCTGATGGAGTGGACCAGAGAGAACAATGGCTTGCCAGCTGTGACGCAGCCAGCTGTGATCGCATCCTCGACCGTAGCACCATTGGCGGGCACCACCAGGGGAGGGTCTCTGGGAGGCGACTCCTCTCCTCTCACTCACTTCTTGTTTCCTCTCACTAATACTCTGGAGCTGTTGCCACTGGTCCAGAGGGAAATGCAGTTAGACAGCCATTATCAAAGAGAAAAGTTTCCTTCATGTCACACTTGGCACAAGTGACCATCAGAAGGAGGGGACAAGACCATGTGGCAGCTTTCTCAAAGTCATTTCTTGTTCTTGTCTCTGGCCATCAGAGCCCTAGCCTCCCTCAACATCCCTGTTTCTGGGGCTGCTCACTGGGAGGCCGTGGGAAGCACCTATGCACTGTGGCCCTGTGCCACCTGAGGGTGTGAGTGTATGTGTATGTCTGCTTGTACCAGGACCAAGGCGCCACGTGAGGGTGTGAGTGTATGTGTATGTCTGCTTGTACCAGAACCAAGGCGCCACGTGAGGGTGTGAGTGTATTGTATGTCTGCTTGTACTAGGACCAAGGCGCCACGTGAGGGTGTGCCTCGCTTTGAGGAAGATTGGTTTTGATCCAGAGGGCCTTGGAAATACAGCAGCCAGCTGAACATACGGGGCAGGGAGCCCAGGTCCCGGCACTAGAACCTGGGGGAAGATTTCAGTTAAAAGGGGGTGTTCCTGATGATGCCATCTAGGTAGTCATGGAAGAGGGGTGTCCTGTCAATGTTTCATGTGCCAGAAATTATTAGAAAATACACCATTGATAAGGAACTAAAATCAGAGCAGTTCTGCCTAGACAGACCAAATGACCTCTCGAGTTTCCTTCCAGCCACACAGAGCAGGAGGACTAACCCGTATGTGTCGATGGCTTCAGGAGCCAGGGACTTGGCCTGGGAAAGAGCAGACTTTTGCCTTGTGGGTCTCGCAGTCTTTTCTCTGTGTGTGCACGTGTGTGCGCGTGTGTGCGCGTGCATATGTGTGCATCTTGGTGGGTGGGATAGGCGAATTCCGCGTGCTGAGCATCTCTGACACGGAGCTTACCCCCTGGCCTGGGCCACCTGGGACTGAATACATCCCTGATTAAAGAATACGGGAGGGAGAGTTGTCCCCATCCTACCCCAGCTCCCATACACCTTCCTCGTGTCGGTGTGTTGGCTGGAGACTGAGAAATGTAGCACTGTCGTTGGCTTTGAACTTGCCCAAGAATCTCTGGAATGTATGGGGCATAGTCAGCTGCCTAGTGTGACTTCTGTGGTCAGCACCCTCAGGACCCAATAACACCTCTGATCTTACAAATAGGGAATCGGTTGGGATCCCAGAACGATCTCTCCTTCTGTATGGGGGACTTGTAATATGGAGGCCCAGGGGAATAAAAGGGCTTTTGTTGATCAGGCTCTGGTCGGGAAGGCTTAGGATCTCTTAATTGTCCCTGAGAAAAGCTCCCTGGCAATTCTCTCTCCGGTAGCCCTCCCTGTTCTGGCCCCCTTGTGGAGGGTTAGGGATATTACTTTTCTGAACTTCTAGAGATTTGAGGCAGACTGGGATGTCCCTATTCCTTGAAAAGTAGAGTTGCCTACTTATGTCCTAAGGCCCCTGCCTCCTGTCCCATTAGCATCAACACTAGAAAATGGGCTGTGGTCAGATCATAGGAGATGGAGTGCAAGGAGGAGAGGTGGCTCTCTCTCTGATTTGCCTCCTTCATTCTTGTCACAGGCTGAGCTTTAGCAAGTACTGGAACTGGAGAGTCAGGCTAGAGTGGCCCTTTATTACCTTGTAGGCCCTATTCCCTACAAGATCAAAGGGTAACTTTGGATGGGAGATGGGGGACGTGAGAGAGTTAGTGCTGAGCTGAACCACTCTGTGCCCCAAATGAGGATATATGCAGACAAGAAGCCCACCGTGGCTTCTTTTAACGGAATTTCTTTGTTGACTGTGGGTTGGGAAGATGGTGCAACTAAGCACAGACCACACTGTGATTCCATTCATGCCCTTTTGCCACATTCTAGTACAAACTAAAAAAACTTAGGGTGCCTGCACCCCAAATGTCCTAGAGAGAAAGGCAGTTACTGGAAGTCAGGGTAGGTATGGAGTCATTGTAGGAAGGGCCATCGCTGGGCAGAGAAAAAGGGAGAGGGAGGCATGGAGGAAAGGAAGGGCAAGGGGAGCCAAGAAGAGGACAGAGACTGGGGAGAGGCTGAGGATGGAGGCAGGAGAGGTCCGCCTACCTGGCAGAGTGGGCATTGTTCTCCCTTTGTGGTCTTGTTTGGGTGGCTCATTGACCTCCAGCAGATGTGACCAAGGGTAATTTTGTTTGGAGTGAATGATCGGGGTGCTAAACAGCTCCTAGGGGATAGCAGGCTGGGCTGTGCTCTTGCAGGGCAGGGCCCAGCCGCCCACCCACCTCTGAGGCCGGGACTCCAGGGCTGGACTGAAGGGGTGCTGCTTGAGCCTGTGTCTGGGTGCTGCTTGGCCTGAGGTTCCATGCCGTCCCTGGGGTCTGAGCAATTCGGTCTGCGTCCCATTCCCGTCCTCATTCTCGCCCGTGGCTGAGTGCATGCTGGGTGCTCGGAACCACACAGACCATGAGAAGAAAATGAAACACGCACAGGGCTTCATTGTCTTCCTTGTACATGGTTGTGTTTTCTCACTGTGACCCATCTGACCCCGTCTGCTATGCTTGGGGAGGCGTCTGAGCACTAAGCTCCGTCTCCACACCGGGCTGCTTGCCGTGCGCGCGGAGGCCATGAGTCCAGGCTGGGGACAGCCAAACCGACCAGACTGGCTGTTTGACATTTTCCTCTCAGCTGCTCCCACGCTGCCCCCGACTACTGTGGGTGTGACAGGCACTGTGAGCAGTACTGACGCTACTGCCATTGCTGCCACCACCGAAGCCACAACAGTCCCCGTCATCCCCACCGTTGCACCTACCACCATCGCCGCCACCACCACCGTCGCCACCGCTACTACAAGCACTGCTGCCGCCGCTACTACCACGGAGAGCCCCCCCCCTGCCGCCGGGACTGAGATACTCGAAGCCGGTACTGCGCGTTGTCCATGCTCCCCCAGTCCCTCCTGGCCCTCCTCCCCCATTTTCTCAAGAAACAAGCCCACAGGCTTCCCTAGATAGGAGGTGGGGTCTGGGACGTGTTTGCCAACATCCCCCTTTGTCTCTACTTTGAAATTCACACGACTGGATTCTGAGTCTGGTTGCTTAGAGGCCCCAGAGCTCCCCATCCTGGGTGAGTCTCAACCACTCCGTGTCCCTCGTCCTAGCCTCGGAGTCCCTGTTCTTTAACAGAAGGCCGTACAATGGTCTGTGAGAGCCGAGCTCCTCCTCAGGCAGACAGTAGGGGTGCCTCCAGCCACGTGTCAAATGGTCAACGCAGGGCTGAGCCCTTCAGAAGGGAGAGAGTGGGGGGAAGGAAAGGGGCCTGGCGCTGTACGACTGGAGACCCCCCTATGGTGCCATCAGTGGAAGCTCTTTCTTGGCCCCTCACTTAACATGAATCACATTCACCTGGGGCAGCTGGTGACTGACAAGGTTGTAATGCAGAAGGCACTTCTTTGAAGTGAAGACCAGGAGATCTTCTATCATTTCCCCAGCCCTGCAGACTCAGTCACATGTCACATGAGAAGGCTTCCTCCTCTGGGCAGGGCTGCCTGTCAGAGGTGCTGGCAGGTGGGGAGTGTCTGGCCATGCCATGCAGCTCCTTTCCCAGAACCTGCTCCTTCTGCCCTTCTCATCCCAGGAGATTTTAAAGTCTTAGATTTAAAAAGTCACGGCTTCCGGGAAACAATATTGCCAAGGAGTCCCATAATGTCAAAGGGCTCCATTACTCTTCCTCGTTTCCCCACGGCCCAGGTGCACACATGGAGGGAAATTGCAGCCATTCCAGGGGCCGGTGTAAGACTTGATGTCACAGATGGTCTGCTGAGCCCAGAGAATATGCTGTCACCATGTGAGGCAGCCAGGCCAGGAAGCTCTGTTCTTCTAGCATGAGGAGACCCCTCGGGAACTCAGCAATCCTTCTAAGAACCAAGCATCAAACAGCCTTTTACCACCACAGACAGGAGGGTCTCTAGCTTAGTGAGCCCTCACACCAGCTGTAGAACCAGCATGATGCAGCTGGCAAGGCTGGCCAGAAGCACCCAGGACTCTCCTCCGGCAGCTGTAGAATTGCAGGCTCTTGCCCTTCACTACCTCTGTTTCCTGGGCAAGTTCTCTGACCCCCTCTATCTCACTGTCTCCCCACCCCACTCCACGGCTCTTCACCCACCTGGATGAGGATGGAGGCTTATGGTCGGTGCCTGTGAGTGTGTTTTAGACTTAGTACATGGAATTAGGTGAGATGTAAGGGAAGACAGATGAGTCATAACTAGCGCTATGTTCCCCAGACCTTTAAAACACTGCTGTAAAGGTGCAATATCTAGTATTTAAACAACATACACTTCACGGAAAAGCTGTCTGAGGAAAAGAAACTACTAGAAGTTGTCACTAGCAGGTTAGTGACTGACATTCTTTGTGGCCACAGTGAGGCATCTTCTGCGTTATAGTGGGGCGCAATGTCCTACAAGTGCTTTGAGTTCACAGAAGAGATGCACAAAGAAGGAAGAAAAGAGTGGGTTTTGCTCCCCAGCAAAGAGTTACTTGCCTTCTAGGAAGATCAGCCTTGTTGCCACATAGGGTTAGCCCCATGGACTCCTCTACCCCAAGTCCGTCTGTGTCTGAAACACTGAAGAGGACCTGGCCATGTCCCTGATTGTATCCTCCGAGGTTGGGGACATCCCTCAAACGTTCAAGCTTCCCTTAATGCAGCAGAATGGCTCTGCCATCCGGGATTCTAAAAATAAATGTTCATCTGTACTGTGTCTTACATCTTAGGACAAAGTGTTTTGTAAGTGGACTCTCCTCAGGGGGAGATAGGACTTTCATTTGTCTTTAACTTGTCTCTTTCAGACGTCAAGGGATACTCCCTAATTCTCACATTCCGGGAGTCCGTAAACTTCCCCTTTTGGTTTTTAAAATTCTCCATAGCTCACTTTCTTGGTGCTTCTCATTGAACTTTTCACTTGTTCAGTTGTCCCTATGGTAATCCCTTCCTCCACACCCACCTCATTCTGGCTTCCCATTACTCGACCTTTTTTCTAAAATCACTCCAATCTCCATTACCTTTAGGACAGTTGGATTTGGGTCAATAGTATATTGGTGGCCAAACTGTTTAAACCCAGGTTCTCTGGCTATTTCCAGGGCTGAGGAGGAAGAAACCCAACTCCGCAAATCATGACTAATTATAATTCATTCCCACTACCAAGGGCCATGAAATTCCAAGGAGCTGGGATTTGGGGCAGCGTAAAGCAGCCAGTACAATTGAAACATGTGGCAGTCAAGTAAAGAAGCCTACCATCTGCCCGCCCCATGGAGACCCCCCAATGGTGCCATCCGTGGAAGCTCTTTCTTGGCGCCTCACCTAACATGAATCACATTCACCTGGGGCAACTGGTGACTGACAAGGTAGTAGTGGAAAGGGCACTTCTTTGAAGTGAAGACCAGGAGATCTTTTATCATTTCCCCAGCCCTGCAGACTCAGTCACATGTCAAATAGTTAATGAATAAATGCATCACCCAATGTACTCTATTCACTTAATTTTGACAAGTGAGTTGGTGACAGTGCCTCCTTGCATGCTAATAAAATATACAGGAGCCACACTTGTAAAGTCTTTGAAATACAAGTCTTCATGCTAGTACTCCTCTATTAAATCTTTGCCGGGAAATGGGGTAATCAGACTGCTGGGACTCTTGAAAAATGATTATGTTTGAAGATTAGCGCCACTCTCCTGTATGTAGGCTATGGTTTCAGACAGCACGACAGCTTTGATAAAGTAGCTCCTGGCTCCCAGGAACTAGATAATTAATGTCCTCTGTGTTGCGTGAAGCTCTGTGGTGCCGAGAATCTAACAGAACAGGATCCTTCTGGTGTCTGGACCACTGAGGGTTGAGTGTCAAGGAGTTCTCCTCTCTTGGTCCCACCTAGCCCAGAGAGAGAGAGTGCAAGGGTTCATACTGTCTCTAGGTGGGACTCCTGGGCTCCAGACCAAGTCACCTTAGACAGTCCAAGGCTGCTTTCCACATAACTCAGGCTCTTGCTGCCCAAGAACAATCCCAGGGGCTCCTCAGACCAGAGTCACCTGACAGGATCACCATTCTCCCATTAAGGCCCTCCCTTGGTTGGTCCTGCCCTTCCTACAAATCTCATCATGTCTCTCATTTGGCTTTTAAAACTAACATCTGTCCTTCCTGCAGAACTTCGTAGTTGAAGGGGAAGAGGCTGCCCTGTCCCTCCCAGTCTCTGCATCTGGCCAAGGGAGCTTTTTCCTGGCCCCTTTCCCTGCACCGTCCTAATCTGTGGCCAGGACGCTAAAAAGGAAAGAAGCCCAGGTTAGACACTCAAAGGGAATATGTAGAAATCCAGTCTTTTATTCCTAAGCCACCTGTGTGGGCGCGTAGACAGTTTCCCGCTCTCCCTCACATCAAGTCCTCCTGAATGCACCAGCTTATCTCCAGACTGCTCCCCCTGGCCTGGCCACCAGGCTGCAGCTTAGAGCTCCGCCGGGCCCTGGGCGCCACCATTTCCGGCCCCGTCCTTTCCTAGCAGGTGTGTGTGCGCGTGCGCGTGTCCGTGTGTCTGTGCTGCCTGCCTCACCGTCACTAACTCCTCTTCTAACCCATCTCCCAGCCCCCGATGAGCAGTCCATATGGAACGTCACGGTGCTCCCCAACAGTAAATGGGCCAACATCACCTGGAAGCACAATTTCGGGCCCGGAACTGACTTTGTGGTTGAGTACATCGACAGTAAGCATTGCTGTGCGGGTGGTGGTGATGGTGGCGGCGGCAGCAGCGCGAGTAGTGGTAGATGCCATTAAAGAGGTTCTGTGTACACCCCGACTGAGAGAGGCCTTTCCGCCTGGGTTCATCATGGTATGATGAAATCGATATGCACTCAGGTGGCAATGAGGTGGGAGGAGGGGCTCAAGGAAAAAGAAGGGCCTTCTGAAGCCATTAGTGAAGGTCTAGGTTCACATGTGCTGTGGCTGGCCTGGGCAGTGGGCCCTTCCTCCATTGCCTGCCCAGGATCAGAGCTCTCAATAGCCCCCAGATGAGCTGAATCTCGCCTCTGCCTTGATCTCCTGAACTCAGAATCCACGTGTTCTGATGTCTCCACTGGACAGGCTGGCCGGGTCACAGGCTTGGGGTACAACTGAGCTTTGCTCACACGGAATGCCAATGCCCACAGTCTGAGACACAGACCAGAGTTCTTTGTCTCAGAGAACTGGTGACTTGACCTGAGCTGATCACTCTTTATTGGATCTCCGGATCCAGGGTTTGTTAGACTGTAGACTGTGGTCAGGACATCTGCCTTCTCCTCTGGGTGAAGTCTCCTGTTCCTCAGGGGTCACCCTGACCACCTTGGCCTCTTTAGCATGTGATCCAACCAATTAAGCCAACTAACCCAGCCAGAAGATCCACCTGGGCTGTCCCGCTTGAAGAACTCTTAGGGAACAGCAGAGCCAGCTCTTAGTTCTCTGGGCTGGAGGAGGGATTCACAGCCACAGAATTCACCATGCCTAGTTTGGTCCGTACCAAATAGTTGTGGCTCCTGCCACCACCACGCACCCTGAACCGCAGACACACGGACACACACTTGGTGTGTGAATTAGCCACATGGCTAGAAATGAGATGAGAAACGAGGAGTGAGAGCCAAGAAGCAGAGTCCTGCTTCACCTCCAGTCGCCATTAGGGATGCTCTTGCATGAGAGGTCGGTCACCTCCAGGGTAGCACGGCTGACATGCTGAGAGTTTAATGAAGTAGGTCACAATGTGTTTAGCGCTAAGACTGAGGTGAGGAAAGAAAACTTCAGTGTAATCAGGTAAAGGTTAGCATTACATGGAAGCTCTGTGCGATGGACTGGACCCACGGTCCCTGGCCCTTCCTCCCCCTTCCTACCTTTGACAGGTGACCAGGAACCAAAGCACTGTCTCTCCAGCTCCAGGTGCCTGGCAGTAGGCTGACTGAGGTTTCTGTTCCCCAGGCAACCATACGAAAAAAACTGTCCCTGTTAAGGCCCAGGCCCAGCCTATACAGCTGACAGACCTCTATCCCGGGATGACATACACGTTGCGGGTTTATTCCCGGGACAACGAGGGCATCAGCAGTACCTTCATCACCTTTATGACCAGTACAGGTGAGAGGGGACCTGGCCTGGCCATCCCCGACAAGCATGGGGCATCTCATTCCATTCTCAGCTTCCTGCTTGTCTCTGCTCCTTGGAGAGAAGACTCATCCCCCCCATCCCTAACCTTGCATGGCGCGTCTCCGCTCCTATTATACATCAGTCTGCAGCTGCCCAGAAGCCGAGAGGAGCCGGAGGTGCATGTACAGGGGAGAGGAAGCTGGGATGCTGACCTCGTGGGGGAGGAGCAGGGAGTCAGAAGGATTTTACAGTGAGGATAGAGGAGAACGCTTGGCCCCCGGTTATGCTTGAAACAAAGAGCTTGGTGTCTGAGCAAACTTGGTGACTGTGTGTGTGGTTGGGGGCTGCTGGAGTGCAGTGCAGCCTGCCCCTTGCACACAGGGGCTTGCTCTCCATGTGGAGTTAGGAAACAGGACCATCCAAAGGGCTGGCTGCAGAAATCTCCCCAGGAACCAACCCAAGGATCAGTGCATATACCACTGCTTAACCACGGCCATGCCCATCACCTGCTGTTAAAAATTCCAGAGTCTGTGACAACTTGTTTAGGGCTCTGTTTTGATTTAATTTTTGTCCCAAGTTTGTCTTAGCTTAGAAGTAGTTGCCCTTTTACAGTGTTGGGGGAGGGGAAGTAGCTCGTCAGTACCAGGATAGCTGTGGCTTCAACTGTGGTCAGAGAGGCATCTTCATTGTGCCAAATTAGCAGGCTGCCTGGGTCTCAGAAAGGGTGCAGGTTCAGAAATCCCTCTGCTAGTAGGGGTGGCTGGCAGACTGGAAACCGCGAGGGCACTTGCTTGTCTGGGTGTGTGTGTATCTTTAAACTTGGCCAGGCTGTGGAAGGTGGCTTGTGTGCTAAGCCCTGGGGCTGAGGGTGAGTTGGGGAAAGAGAGTAAGAGAGAAAAGGATCAGTCCCTGCCCCCAGGGATGTCTTCATCAGATGCCAGGTATTAAAAACACAACGTAGAAAAAACAAAAACAATGGTTGATATGAACTTCTGAATGTTGACTTAAACATCCGTTACTCCTTCCCTGTGCTTGGCCTGGAGTCCCTGGGTGGCGCAATTGGTTAAGTGCTCAACTACTAACCAAAAGGCTGGCTGTTTGAACTCACCAAGAGGCATCTCGGAAGAAAGGCCTGTGATCTGCTTCTGAAAAATCACAACCTTGAAAACCCTATGGGGCACAGTTCTACTCTGACACGCATGGGGTCACCGTGAGTCTCAACTCAACAGCAGCTGGTTTTGGTTTTTGGTTTTGTGCTTGGCCTCAGGAGGCTGATCCTGTTAGCTTGCATCTGAGAGTTGCTATCCATCAGTATAAATGTCCTCACCCCAACCCTTCCACTCCTGTCCCTCCTGGGTCCTATCCTCCTCCATGTCTCCATCTGCCCATGTCCGTGCCATCTCAAGATGCAGGGAGTCTGGGAGTCCAGCTGCCTGCCTGGGCCTGCCACAGCCTGGCCGGGCCAGTGCAGGCAGGCTGTCCCAGTGAGTGGCCAGGCCCATCCTGTTACACGGGGAGCCAGGCAAGGGATCTGGACAACTGACTGAGAGGAGCAGGTGGCTAGACTCTGTCTGACCCAGTTGGGGTCCCAATCTGCCGCTCACTGGTGCATGCATTTGCTTTTGCTTTATTGCAAACCTGGGTCTAGCACAGAGGCAGGAAGCAGAGATGATGTTTGCGGACAGAGTTCCATCCTAGAGAGCACCACCAGAGCCAGTGCTACCTGCTGTCAGAGCTGGACTTCTCCTGGGGCTGGAGATAAGGGTGGGAAAAGGGATCCAAAGAGAAGAGGACCAGTCCCTGCCCCCAACCAGTCCCTGCCCCCAGGGACGTCCTAACCTGATACAAGTTGGTAGACAGAGCTTAGAGAAAACAGCAGTGATCGATAGAAGTTTCTGAACTTTGACTTGAGCATTCTTTTCTCTCTTCCTGGGCTTGGCCTGAGCAGGCTAATCCTCATAGTTGGCTTCCAGAGTGATAGAGGCACTCGGCACTTACAAATTTCTCAGACTCCTTCCAGTACAGGCTGGAGCGGGCAGGTTTATCGGCCGAGCGCTGAGTGCATATTGTTCACTTATCTCACAGGCTGGCAGAAATGACCATGTGCAAACCACATATTTTCACTTTCTGAAGTGTGTGTGTGCCTCGGGGGTCGTCTATATCCTGAGAAAATGCACACTGTTTCTTGTGGGTGGACTTCAGAGCCAAGTTCACCCCCTCCCATCCCCCAGGTTCCTGTGTCTCATCAAGGCAAGAGGTCGTGTGCATTTCTGGGCCCCAGCACTGGGCATTTAGGCAACCACAGACCATCACTTTATTCTGGAGACTCAAACATGCTGCCGTGGTTCAGGAAGGAAGTGGAAGGAAACCACTAGGAATGCTAACAGGCTCTCTGACCCTACCAGAAAGATCCCACACGGGAAGTTAATCACCTCCTTGAAGCCTTTGAAGCCAAAGAGACCCCAGGGGCTGCAAACATAGAACCCTGCATGCCAAGAGGTTCATCAGCTCTTGCTTCCTGGGGTGGGCAGGATGGGGCAAGGCAGCAGCATGGTGGATGCTGAGAGTGGCCAGGAGGTAGACATCAGCCTGCCTTCGAGCTCAGGGAAGGGAGGGCCATTAGGGGACGGAGCTCCAGTCAGCTTCTCTCTGCGCTGTGTGGGAGAAACACCTCTTCAGTCAGTCAACCTAGGATGGGGCAAGTGAGAATGAAGAGGTGTAAAATGATGCTTAAGTGAGGACAGCTAGCCCAAATTGCATTTGAAGAAAGCCCATCCCTATTACAGTTGTTAATCGATCTATCCTCATTTCTGAAATATAATTTTTCTGCAGACTTTGGGTGACTGGCCTCTTTTCCATGGCCAAACCAAATTCTCCCCAATTAGAGTTAAACATCATTAGGACTGTCTACCTTGCAGGTGAACAGCCCATTTCTGAGGGGAGGGGGGATGTTCTGGAAAGCACACAAGTTACGGCCTCTAATCTAGAGCAGGAGCCCTGGTGGCACAGTGGTTAAGAGCTCAGCTGCTAACCAAAAGATCAGCAGTTTGAATCCACCAGCTGCTCCTTGGACACCCTATTGGGCAGTTCTGCTCTGTCCTATAGGGTCACTATGAGTCGGAATCAACTCAACAGCAATGGGTTTGGTTTTGTTTTGTTTTGTTTTCATCTAGAGCAAAAGGCTTTTGGCCCTGTGTCTGTCAGGCCGGTGGGCCCAATGAGAGGGTGCTATTCTGGTTCACAGTTAGTTCCAGCTAAAGAAGGAACGTGTCAGTGCACCTTGGTCTTTGAATGTTGTCTGAAATCCAGTTTAACAGATCGATTAAGTATGGTGTTGGCAGCCAAACGTAATTGCCATGGAGCCTCGCTGAGATGCTTTCCTCTCAGAGTCCACACCCTCACGCCGTGCATCCATGTTGTGAGAGCATCTTTTGGTTCTTGAGAAACTCAGCCATTTTGATGGTGTCTGGTGGAGCCCACCTTACCCCAGATCCCAGAGAGTTTTGAACTGCTTTCTGGCCAACATCTGTGTGCAAACTTCACGGAAAAATTCTTTGACCTTCTCAGTAGAGACTGTTTGAAGGTAACATTTGAATTCCCCGTGGTAGCGTTGGGAATGGAATGGGGAGCTACATTTGCTTTCTAAATTGCCTGTGTTAGCACTTTTCCCTGGAATTATGACTTTCTCTACCACGAGAAAGGGAGTCTTGTGGAGACAGCTGTCAGAGTATATCAGAAGAAGCGGTAGGAAGATGGTGGTGCAAACATACAGGCCGTCCTCTTTGAAAACAGCAGGGACCACTATCCAAACACAAGTTGGAGTGATTCCTTGATTCCAGTGCCCAGGTGCTACAAGGTCAAGCCAATATCCATCGACCCTTAGATGGTTCAGGGGACAAAACTAAAGAGGTGTCCCAGGTTAACTTTTTGCATTAAAATTAATTTGATCTGTTAATCAGTAAGTATTCACCGAGTACTTTTTATGTGGCATCATGCTAAGTACTAGGAGGCTCAAAAAGATCCCCTGTTCACAAGACATTAATAGCATAACTGAAAGTCAGAACCCATGAAACAGATTAAATGTTAAGTTCTGTGACCTTGAGCAAGCCACCTAGCCTTTCTGTGCCTCAGTTTCCTCTCATATAAAATGACACAACCTTGTTTGCTGAAAGCAAAGAGGACTTGAAGCACTTATTGATGAAGATCAAAGACTACAGCCTTCAGTATGGATTACACTTCAACATAAAGAAAACAAAAATCCCCACAACTGGACCAATAAGCAAGAGCATGATAAATGGAGAAAAGATTGAAGTTGTCAAGGATTTCATTTTACTTGGATCCACAATCAATGCCCATGAAAGCAGCAGTCAAGATATCAAACGACATATTGCGTTGGGCAAATCTGCTGCAAAAGATCTCTTTAAAGTGTTCAAAAGCAAAGATGTTACTTTGAGGACTAAGGTGCGCCTGACCCAAGCCATGATATTTTCAATCACCTCATATGTATGCGAAAGCTGGACAGTGAATAAGGAAGAAGAATTGATGCCTTTAAATTATGGTGTTGGTGAAGAATATTGAATATACCATGGACTGCCAGAAGAACGAACAAGTCTGTCTTGGAAGAAATACAGCCAGAGTGCTCCTTGGAAGTGTAGATGAGAAGACTTTGTCTCTCGTACTTTGGACATGTTATCAGGAGGGACGAGTCCCTGGAGAAGGACATCATACTTGGTAAAGTACAGGGTCAGCAAAAAAGAGGAAGACACTTGACAAGATGGATTGACACAGTGGCTGCAACAGTGGCCTCAAACGTAGCAACAATTGTGAGGATGGCACAGGACCGGGCAGTATTTCATTCTGTTGTCAATAGGGTCACCATGAGTCAGAACCAACTTTGACGGCACCTATCAACAATAACAATAAAATATACCTCATGAGGTTGTTGTGAGGATTTAATTAGATATTGTATGGGGAAGTACTTAGATCAGTTCCTTGCCTATAGAAGCGTTTGTAAGTGTAAACTATTACTAGTAGTAATATATAACACGGTTATAAGTATTATGAAAAATTTAAAGTAGAGCCTGTCTTAGTCATCTAGTGCTGCTGTTTAACAGAAATACCACAAGTGGGTGGCTTTTAACAAAGAAAAATGTATTCTTTCACAGTCCAGTAGGCTACAAGTCCAAATTCAGGGCATCAGCTCCAGGAGAAGGCTTTTCTCTCTCTGTTGGCTCTGGAGAGAGGTCCTTGTGATGCATCAGTCTTCCCTTGGTCTGGGAGCATCTCAGGTCCAAAGGACATGGCTCTGCTCCCGGCACTGCTTTCTTGGTGGTGTGAGGTTCCACGTGTCTCTGCTTGCCCCTCTCTTTTATATCTCAAGAGATTGGCTTACGACACCATCCAATCTTGTACACCTCATCAGTGTAACTGCCGCTAATCCATCTTATTACATCATAGTGATAGAGTTTACAACACATAAGGAAATCACATCAGATTACAAAATGTACACAATCATACAATACTGGGAATCATGACCTAGCCAAGTTGACAGATATTTTGGGGGGACACAATTCAATCTCTGACAGAGCCATTATGGAGTGGCTGTGTGGGAGGTGACATTTGCCATCTGAAAGTCTGGGGCACTTGTGGGAGGTGGGAGGAGGAAGGAGAACCTAAGCAGAAAAAATGGCACCTGCAGAGTCCTGAGGCAGGAATGAGAGTGGCCACTGTGGCTGGGGGGTAGAGGGTGAGATGGGACTAGAGAGGTAGTCAGGGCCAGCTCTAATGGAGCCTTACGGGCTAGGATAAGGAATGTAGAGTTTTTTCCCAATACCAGTGAGAAGCTTTGAAGGACTGAAGTAAGGAAGCGATTTGATCTGATGTGGGGTCTTGGGAAGATCCCACTGACAGCTCTGTGGAGAATGGACTGTGGAGAGCAGGAGTGGAGGCAGGGATGGGACTTTCCCCACATTATCCATAGATAGGGTAATCACAAGCCTTGTTCTTATGGGACTCAATTGCTTTTCAACCCAGGGCTGCCCTGGGCAGCCAGAGCCCCTCGAGTGCGAAAGCACTTATTTGTCCAGTTCTCACCATTTATCGAGAACCTTCTGCATGCGTTTCTCTTGGCGAAACTCTGGGAAGGCTGTAAAGACAGCTTCTGCCCCAAGAGGACAGGATTATGTCCAGACACCTGCCCCATAAAAGGACACGTGATAAGGACCCTCAGGTACAATGAGGGCCAAGGGGTTCCCCCATGCTCTTCTTGTGCCCTTTCTTGGAAGAGGCTGAAGACCTTGGCTCTGAGGGACCTGCTGTGTTCTAGCTCCCCAGAGGCCTCTCTGGGCTGGGTCTGTTCTGTCCCCTGAGCCTCAGTTCCTGTGACAGGCTGCATTTGTGCCGCATTGCTTTTGTCCTCCCATACATCGACAGGAGAAGAATGAGTCCTGATCACACAGTCATTGGCTCATCAAGGGCACCATCAGATGCTGCCTAAGCTCCTGCGCTTTTGGCCCATCTGCATGCCCCTCAGCTTACAAAGGGGTCTGCCAAGCTGACACGTCTGCACATCCCAGTGTGAGGATGGGTTCCCACCACGTAGGGACAGGAGGGACCCACTGTCACAGGGGCTGGGGTAGGGGACAGGGTAAGGAGGTAAGTCAGCTTGTCATAGAATACCGAGTGTCTCCATGTGTGGAAGTGGTCTGGAAGGGTGTGAGCTGAAGGCACCATCCTGGTCCCAGCATTGCTGCCTGCCAGTCTAGGGTACTCGTGCCAGGATTGTCTTTGCTGCCAGGGAGCACACAGTCCAGCTGGGGAGACCTCCATGTTGCCCAGGACCCAGGACCCACTGCCAGGAGGCCTGGCTGACCTCGAGACTGGTGGACAGTAGGGCTGACCTGTGGCCGTGCAGACCCATAAAGGCGTTATTGTAATGGACATTTGCAATGTGACCACAGCCCCCTTTCCCTGATTGGGGCCATGCAGGCTCCTATATCTTCCTCCTGGGCTCATGGGGAATCACACTTCATCACAAATCCCTGGCCTTTCTGCAGCCTCTTCAGTCCCCATTAGGTTGTGACCCCTGGTTTGTGAGAATGCCAATCTCTCGCCCTTAGGCAACTTTCCCTTCCTAAGGGACCTGCTCGGGCTTCCGCTTCTTATTCTGCTACCTGTACCCTTTCTTTTGCCTCTTTTCTCATCTTTTGACCTTGGCTCTTTAACTATTTTTAATTTGTCCTTTTAGTGGGGTAGTTTGGGCCAGAGGGCTGCTTGGTGTAGCTTAGGCTCAGGAAAAACATCCATGCGAAGTAGCTGGAATCCTTCCCTCCCATCTTCCCCTCACCTCCCGGATGCAGTCATTCACGTGTTTGCTTCTGGCCCTCCCCATCAGCTTACACCAACAACCAGGCGGACATCGCCACCCAGGGCTGGTTTATTGGGCTCATGTGCGCCATCGCCCTGTTGGTGCTGATCCTGCTCATCGTCTGCTTCATCAAGAGGAGTCGAGGCGGGAAGTACCCAGGTGAGGCCTGTGAGTAGGGGAGGCGGGCAGGCGGGAGGCCGAGGGACAGGCGAGCTGCCCTGTGAGTCACCAGGTCCCAGCCAGCCCTGGGGGACTCTGCTCTCCGTGAGGCCATCCCTTGCCAAGCCCAGCTCGGCCACGCAGCCCTCCTGCCCGGTCTGTGCATCTTCGAGCTGCCAGAAAGCACTAGAGTTAATTAAGTTTGCGTGAGGTGGGCGGGGGAGCCGTCCAGGCAGCCCCGCAGAGGGGCTGGGAGGAACCCTGGCTCCCATTAAGAGTGACCTTCTTTCCCCTTGGCTCACCACCCCATCTGCTTAGTAAATTGGCTTTTTTCAGCCTGAATCTCATTAGAATCCTGTGTCCCAGGGAAGGAGGAAGGAAGAGAAGCATTTTCTCTAATCATGTCAGAGAGAATGGGGAGAGGAGGGTCTAGACACAAGGAAACACCCACGAGAGAGGTTGCAAAGATGGGCACTCAGCGTGACGAGGGTGTAATCACAGACACCTCTAGCAGAGGCTCAGGAGCTCCTACTTGAGGAGCAGGTAGGGGCTAAGCGGTGGGTGGCACTGAGGGACCCCTATGGCTCTTACAGGGCTTTGGGCTTCCCTGGAGTTGCCAAGAGGCTTTTCTCTGCCCAGACAAACCAAGGTCAAAGACAAGAACCTCTCGCATTCTTGTTTCTGGAAATATTGATTGTTCTTCAGACGGGGCGAGAGAGCCATCTGTTTAAGATGGGTGGAGGTGGGTGGTGAGACCCTGACAGGAGGCAGGATAATTGATGACCCTAACAGTGAAAACCCTGCTGGACTGCTAAATGGAATTGCTTCCTGTGCCCCAGAGCCCTGTCACCAAACACGCCCCTTGTTCTCCAGATACCTGCCTCTCCTCATCTCTGTGAACAAGTCCTTCCCCAGCATCCTCCCCAGAACACAACACAAAGGAAACAGAGGAGATCCCATTTTATTTCCTTCCCTCTGCCCAAGTACCCTCACTCTAGGATCCTAAAGAGTTATGGCTCTAATCTGAGTGAGGGAGGGCAGGAAATTATAGTTCTTTGTTGGTGAGTGATGTTTTTCTTTCACTTAGTTTTCTATATTGGGATTGTTTTTCTTATAATAAGAGCGAAAGCCAGAGTTAGGGAGAAGGCTGGTCTTCCATCTGACATTGAGACTTAGGTGGACTCATTAGGTTCAGCCCCCTGCCCATCCAGAAAGTGTCCCATTCTAGAATGTTCTTCAAAGCTAACCTCCTTTTCTCCAGCTACAGGGTAGGCCGCTGGTACATTAGAATGATGAGTGAACCAGGACTGGGTTCTAGTGTCTAGTCTTTATTTAGTTACTAATTAGTTATGTAGCACCATGTTAATCTCTCAAGACCTAGTTTCCCTCACCTAAAATGGGGGTGATTATCCTGCCTTATACCTCAAAAGGGGATATATGAAGAGTCATTCATGTAAGTGTCTGAGAGGCATTTCTCAGAAATGCCAGGCTCTGTGCTGGTGCTACGGATGCTAGAGGAAAAGATGGTCGGTCCCCCAAGGACATTTCACCTGGCACAGAAGGAACAATCAGCACAGTCAGGCAGGGCCTATAACAGGTGGTCTGGGAAGAAGGGGGCGCTTGAACAGGTGAAGACACTTTCCATTCCACAGAGATGTGTGGAGTGCCCTCTGTCCAGAGCACTGTGCCAGGAGCTTTGAAGAAACACACAGCCCCTACCCTCAAGGAAAGAGGGTTACGGGCGTTAAGAAACATAACAAATAATTACAATACAGAGCAGAATGAGAAAGGTGCAAACAATGTATTGTTTTGTTTGGGCAAGGGAAAAGATTACATCTAGTTGGGGTTTTGGGAAGACTTGATGAGAGGTAGTGGGGAGCCCAGGTGGGAGGTGATTTCAGTGGTCAGAGGGAGGTAGGGAAACCCGGGGGTCAGGAGAAGTAGATCAGCATGACTTGGCAGCTGACTGGGTGTGGGAAGCAAAAACAAGAGGGGCATCGATGGTGCCTTGTGGGATCCGGGGGCTGTGTCTTCTGGCTTTACCCTCAGGGCCCTGGGGGCACATGTTTCAATCATCCTGTCTGTCTTTGCTTCTTTTATTGACCAAGTGCGAGAAAAGAAGGATGTTCCCCTTGGCCCCGAAGACCCCAAAGAAGACGATGGCTCATTTGACTACAGGTATGTGACCTCCTTCCTCCCGTGTCAGTGTCCTCGGACGGCCTCTGTGCCTCCAGCCACTGGTCTCTCAGAGCGGCTCAGCTTGGCCGAGAGACCACTGTGTGACGTCCTCCCCATCGGGCTGTTACCTGCTCCGCTGACGACGGGTGCTGCTGGGTGTGCTCAGACAGCCTGCTCATCCTCATGGTCTCGAGGCTGCTCCCCGGGAGGCACTGCCCGACACACTCACACACACACTCTCACACACTCACACTCACACACACACACACAGACATACACTCACACACACACATACTCGAATTTACTGAGTTGTCTGTATGTGTGTTTCCAACTTTTTACTTTGAAAATCCCTCATGTTGTGAAATGAGCCCAGCTTCCAGGCTTCCCCTCTGCCCGCACCCCACCCCAGCCCTGACAGTCATGACCCAGGGGGCTGTGTTATCTTAGAGCCTCTTGCCTGTGTGAGGAATGATGGGGAGGGGTTCTGGGCCTTCTTCCCAGAGCGTATCTCTGGGGTCTACACGAACTGGCCTCGGTCTTGGGGAGCCATCGGTGCAGTGTCGTGTTTCACAGATGAGAGGACTGAGGCCCAGACCAGGAAGGGACCCGCCCAAGACTATCGCACTCAGCTCTCAGGGAGCTAGGGCAGAGCTGAGAGCCAGGGCTGACTTCCAGGCTGGGGCTCCTCTCCTACGCCCATGCTCCCTCTCAGATCTGGGAGGGACTTAGTATCTGCGCTTATAAGGTCATCTGCCAGTTTTGATAGGAAGTGCATTTTAAGGAAGGAAGCAGGCTGGGTAATGGAGGTCCCATTCCCAGACCAAGACCAAGTGGGGCAGGAGGAAACGCCTTGATCTGAGCCCTCTCCCCAACCCCACCCAGCTCCTGTCCTGGACCCAGTCACCCCTCTCCTCCTCTGACCTCTCCTTACCCTTTCGGCGCCTCTGCCACTCTGACCATCAGCAGCCTGGCAAACAGGATCAGCTGCCCACAGAGGAGCCCCTGGTGGCTCTGCGGACCACACCCATGCATCCTGTCCCCACATCCCCAAGTGCCTCCCAAAAGGGTGAGCATGAGAGGCCCCTCCCCTTCTCCTTCCTGGCTGTCCTCAGCCACCCATGCCGGGGTCCAGTTTCCCCACAATGTGGCCTTCAGTTCCAAAGGCCACAGGGTTCCTGTCCCCTAGACCCTTAGTGCAGCCCCAGAGAAGGGTAATGACCACCTCAAATACAGGGCCAGGACACCTGCGCTCTGAGAAGCTCCTTCTTCACGCACCTCCCCTCCCCCAGACACCACAGCTGTTGAGCAAAAACACCTGCCTCTCACCCCCAAACACTGAGGCTGCATGCACATGCTGGCACCAGCGCACACACACGTGCCCACATGCACACACGTGCACACATACCCGAACGTATGCACACACATACCCACGCACCACGCCCATCTGCTTTGGCTCTGGGAGTCTGCAGGGTCCATCCTGGAGCCCCCACTTGGGTGAGTCCAAGTACAAAACTGGGAAAAAGCTGAAATTAATACACACAGAAGAAGGGCTCCTTCACTTGGGACTACAGCACCAATTTCTTCACTCCCGACCCCTGGCTCTTCTCACCCTACCTGTTCTCACATTCAGTGGCTCGCTTTACCCGGGGGTGCTGTCCTCTGCCCACTGCCACCAGAGAGAGTAGCCCAAGACACAGAAAGGACCCCAGACCAGGAGGCCAGAGCATGGGCTCCTGTCCCAGCTCTACGCCAGCCTGCCACCTCCCCTTGGAGAAGACCCTTGTCCACTCTAGGCCTCAGTTTCCCTTCTGGAGAACTAGCTGGCCAACGAGGGCAAGGGCGGGCTGGACGGGGTGGGCTCTGGTGAGGACAGCCCCTTCCTCTCTAAGCCGGGCAATGCATGCACTCAGCGGGAGCCGAGGAGCCTGGGGTAGGGCTGGACCTGCCCCTGATTCTGTGTCTCTCTCTCTGGCTAGTGATGAGGACAACAAGCCCCTGCAGGGCAGCCAGACGTCCCTGGACGGCACCATCAAGCAGCAGGAGAGTGACGACAGCCTGGTGGACTATGGCGAGGGTGGCGAGGGCCAGTTCAACGAGGACGGCTCCTTCATTGGCCAGTACACAGTCAAAAAGGACAAGGAGGAAACGGAGGGCAACGAGAGTTCAGAGGCCACGTCCCCTGTCAATGCCATCTACTCTCTGGCCTAACAGAGCCCACGTGGGCACAGCCACTACTTTGCAAGTGGGAGGAGGGGAGAGTGGGAGATGAAACCGCTGTAGACCTACCACAAAAGCACCACCTTCAGGGACAAAGGCACAGTATGGGGGTCTGCCAAGCTGTGAGGACCAGTGACCGCCCAGCCGACCATAAGCGCCCTCCAGGTGACCCCACCCACACCCCCGGGCTGCCACCAGTGTGGCCAAGCCAGAGCTCAGCTGGAGCATCCAGCTCCCATGCTCAGTCCACGGCCACCCTGAGCTTGCCCCCACACTGCCCACCCTTGACCTCGGCACGCACTCACCGATGACCTGTTGGTTCCAGCACTTTCCACTGTCTTCATTTTTGCTTTTGTGCATCCTCCCCTCCAGACCCAACATCCCCATTTTCTTTTCCTTTTGGAGAAGTGTCCCTAGAAGAAGGAAGAATAGGTGGATTCTCCCCCAGGAAACTGCAAAGATAGGCAAAGATTGATGAGAAACAGAACATAATAAGCTGTAGTATTCAAGCCACCGCTGGGCCAATGTACTTCCGAAGGATGCCTTTCTCACCATATGCCTCCCCTTGCTCCTAACCCATCCTCCTCAGCCTTGTCAGTTGCTAAGCTGGGCTTGGCTCCTTTCCGGAAAATGACAGTATTTTTGGCAGGGAGAGGGTGGGCAGGCCTCCTTGCCTCTCTCTGGCTCAGTTGGGAGGTGGGTTTACCACTTGCCCCCTACTCTTACCCTGCCCCTTCCTACCGAGTATCTAAGAAATGAGCTGCACTGACTCTGAAGAAGTCTGAGGGGACAGGAGCAGGCGCTGATGGCAAAGGACTTAATTCCAGTGACCACGGACCTCGAGCAGAAGTAAATCAGGTGTCTGGTCCCTGGGGAGCTGTGCTCACCTCCACCAGGAGAGCAGAAGGCTCGGTTTGGACTTCCTTCCTCCTTGTTAGTGAAACCCGAGATGTAGGAGAGAGGACCCCCACTTTGTCTCCCAACCTGGCCAGGGGTCTATGCTGCTACCCTCAAGGAAAGGAAGCCCTGTGATGCAGAAGCTTTGCTGTGTTTGGGGGTGTCAGCTCTGCTCCCCGTCTCATCTCTAGCACAGCAGATACTATCTTCTCTGTCAATTCAGTGTGGTGTGGAAACTCGTGTTTTACATGGTGTGTGGTTGGGGACCTGCTGCCCCCAAGACTGAGCCCGCTGTCCTTTCGTTCGGGTATTTACATATCAGGAGACCCTGGGGGTAAGGCCGTGCTAACAGTGCTGTGATGCCCTGCCTGGGGAGGACTCAATGCTCTTCGTATGCCTTACGCAGCTGATCTGTCCCCTGGAGTCCCAGGTTCCCAGCCCCTCCCTGCAACTCAGCCTTGAAGCCTCCAGAGATGTCCATCTCCAGGAGACGGGGGTGGCCTATGCAAACGTCCCAGCAGGACCAGAAGCAGTCACTCAGCACATGCCCTGCAGCCTGCGGCCCCAAATGGAGATACTCAGACCTGCTGTTCCCGAAGGTGCTGCCTTCATTCTCCCCACCTAATCCGTGTTTGAAACCAAAGGTCCTTGCCTCAGAGGGAGAGAGAGAGAGCTCCAGCCTAAGAGTAGCCCTGTAGCTGTTCCTGCAGCTAGAGTCGGTTTTTGGAGGGTGAAGCTGACCCCAGTGATGGACCACTTGCCCAAGGAACAATCTCTGGTGTGACCCTCCAGCCACGGACAGGGCTGGGTTCTTCAGAGGCTTTATTAAACCATCATTGGCCACATGTTTAAGCCGCAAAGGTATTAGCAATGCTTGCATCACTGAATAGGCATCCAGTGGAGGTTAGGTTCCTACACTCTGTTTGCAGGTAAGAAGATGTAGCCCAGAGCTGAGCCACTTCTGTTGTTTGAACCTGAAAGTAACTGCCCTTTGGCCCAAGCAGGGGCAGGCCCAGCACCAGCTGCTGCCTGGAAGCCTGGGGGGCAGCTCTCTCATGGAGAAAGGAGACAGGGTACATAGGAGGAGGCTGGGGAGTGAGCTCAGGGGCCCCCTCACCTGGGTTTCCTCTAACCTCTGCTTGGACTCAGCTGGGACTTCCTGCAGCCCAGGCCCACTGTCCCTGAAGGGGATGGCAGAGAAGTGTGCCTGTGAGCCGATTCAAAGGACTGGCCTTCCTAGAAAACAGTCTGGATCTGAGCAGAGCAGTTCGTTTCTCAGGCCTTTGTTTCATACTGCACCGAACAGGCTCCGAGGGCAGGAGAGGACTGCTGGACGTCCTCGTACCGTCCCCCTGCCTGTAGAAAAGTCTGCCACACAAACTGGTGACTAAGAAAGGGCTGCTTCTACCGTGAAGTCTCGGGGAGAGGGGAGTCGAAGCCGTCTGCTGGTCGTTCCAGTGTTGTGCTGGTCTCTGTGGTGTTCCCCTCCACCTGGGAATGTAACGCCCTGAGCCCTCTCCAGGGCTGCTGTGCTGTGTTGCTGTGAGTGCTGAGAGCCAGTCACACTACGTCTCCTCACCGTCAGCCCACGATCACAGCCCTCCTGGCAAGAGCAATCTGGGCTGAAGAACCAAGTGTGCCCCAAGCAAAGATGGCAGGTGCGTAGAGAGCTCACATCTGAGGCACACCGACTTGCAGGGCTGAGGAGGCAGCCCCTTGCAGGAAGAGTCCTCCCCAGCTCAGCAGGAAGCAGTATTGTCCAGCAGTCCCTGTCAGCGGGGCCTGTCAGACCACCACCCCAAGACATGCCACAGCAATGCCAGTAGGGCTGATACTGCTGGTGCCTCAGCCTGTCTGGCTGGGAGGGAGGAGGTGCAGGTCATCCTGCAGTGACTCTAGAAGTCCACTGACTGTGCTGCAATCCCCCTTAGGATACTCAGCCATCAGAGCTGGGCCTTCCTGTGCTCTCGGTTGTCCATTCATTCACTCACTCATTCATTCAGCAAATGCCCTTTGAGCATCTAGCTGGAGCCAAGCCCCAAGCCAGGCACCATGGATACCACGGGGAGCGAGTAAGACGTAGTCCCTGCCCTCAGGGGGCTTACCGTCTCAGAACAGGGTCCTGAGACCCACTGGCCATTGAGTTGGGGCCACTCTGCTCTCTGAGTGCCTAAGCCTCCGATGGCTCCAAGCTCGAAGGGAGACACCGCACAGGAAGAAGTTGGTTGGTCTGGTCAACAAGGCTGGGCAGCACGGAGCAGTCACTTCTGGAGGGTGGGGCTGGGGAACGGTCCTACTTCCCGAGCCTCGTGGCTCTGCCTGCTGCGGCAAGTCACTTAACGTGTTTGTATTTTGGTGCCTCTGTTTCTCCCATTCGGTCCCTCCTTCGAACGCTTCCCCTCGCAGAGGGGCTGGGAGGCAGTGTTTGAGCGGTACACCACTGCAGGCCAGGGAGAACCGCCTCCCGCCTTGCCTGGGTTAAGGTGGAGGGGACCCATCTTCCCCTACCTTGCTTTTGAGGAGAGGGTTGAGTTTCAGCTAAAGGAAGAACCAGACTAGCTCCCTCCCTTTGCCCTGAAATATTGGAGACATCTGATCCACCTCCCTTCTGGCAAGTCCCCAGGTCTGGAGAAGAGTCCACATGTCCGAGAGTCAGCGAGTGCCAACCTGCAAGGTGCATCTGCAACCTGGGCCCGGATGCGGCTTTCATATTTCCCCTGGACACAATAGCTTTGGGAAGGGATTGGAAACAGATTTGAGGATATTTGTGGGTTTTCCAGCTAAGAGAGCACCTCCAGGTCCCATACCCAGTGGGCGTGTGTGCGCGCGCACACACAGAGCAGACTGCAGCCTGATTGCTCAGCAGTCCTTTCAGGGAATAACAATCCACATTCCTAGATGCCTTGGCGAGGGTTAGTCCACGCCCAGGCCCTTGAAATGAGAAGTGCTGTGTGCAACTCGGGGGAAAGAAGTTCCCGGGTTGGGACCCTATTTGGGCGATTCCTGTATGCAGAACCTAGAGAGAAAAAATCTGATTCAGAAGAAGAGGGAATGTTCCCCAGAACAGCACGGAAGGTGGGAGCCTTAGGACACCACAGGCAGCCCATTTGATGGAAGGAGTGGGGATTTAACACGTTTTTGTCAGTCTCTGCGAGGCTGCTTCACCAGTGCTCTGAAGGAGTGAAGCTTCTCAGGCTTTCTGTCTGCCGCGGCAGGTGCAGGGGAGTCACTTCCCAGTGGGAGGCAGCGGCTTCCTGGGTGCCAGCACAGAGCACTGCTCCGGACTCGTCTGACACTCTGGTGTGGACTGGCCCTCCCGCCCAGTCACCGCCCCGGCCAACCCCTGCCAGACGCACGGGCCTGCGGTTGTGGCTAGGTGTACCCAGTCAGGTCCGCCAGAAAGAAACCACCCAGTGAGGCAGAGAATCCTGGTTAAGCTTTGCATTTGCATGGTTAGTTTGGAGGTCCCTGATTTAAAAAAAAAAAAAATCAGAGCAGGGGGGCAAACCAATGAAGCAAAGAATGTGACACATCAGGAGGAGGCTCAGTGCCCTGGGAGACAGAGGCTAGTGGGGCAGAGCCTAGCTCCTGCATAGCCCTTCCCTTAAACCAGCCAGAGGCCACCCCTGTGTCCCCATCCTGCACAGCCCAAGCCCAGGGACGTGCCCTTCCTTCCCTACGAAGCGGGCTTTCCTGAGACAGGTGCAGCGAAGGAGCAGGAGGACGAGTACCCGGGAGGGCCACGAGACTCCACCACTCAGCATCTCAGGCCACACCCGAAACCAGTGCTCCTGATATCTCTATGTTAATATTAAGTGGATGCTCCCTAAAGGTGAGGGTGGACGTGAAATCGGGACGGAGGCTACTAGCTTAGAGTAGAACCAGATGTCAGCATGTGAAGCACCCACAGAGCTCATCTAATTGACTCATTGTGCAGACAGCCTGTTGCCATCAAGTCAATTCCGACTCTCAGCAACAAGGAAACTAAAATCCAGGGAAGTTAAGGGACTTGCCCAAGAACACGCAGCTAGTAAGTGGTGACATTCGGGCTCAAACCTCGGCCTTCTGCCTCCTCGTCCGATGTTCTTCAGTCTCACCACAGCTGCCTCCTTTGAAGCAGAGCTATTACTCAAGATCTGTCCTGCTGGTTGACCCTCTCATACCTCTTTACCACTTCTCTTCCCACCCATTCCCAACCCCTTATACCTCTCAAAATGAAAAACAAAAAGGATTTTTCTGAGTCCAAGGCCAGTTAGTCT